TTCGTTGGTGCATGGCTCGCCAACAGGATTGGTCGTCCCTATACAATGATGGTGGGTTTCGGAGGCTACTTGGTTATCGGTATGTGCCCGTCTCAGACGACTGCTGGTCACGGGTCTGAGCCATGATGTAGGCCTCATCATCGGGCTGGCGTACGATAAGATTACCAAGATCACCCCGCTTTTCATCGTGTTCTACGGACTTATGCAGTCGTGCGTATGTGGTCCGTGATCTGAGGCTCAGCGTGCTTACCACGCTCCAGTTTCGGCAACCTCGGCCCTGGTGATATCATCGGACTCGCGTCCGCGGAATCGTACGCCACTGCAGTTCGTGGGACCTGCTACGGTCTCTCTGCCGCTATTGGAAAGACCGGTGCTGCTGTCGGGACCCAAGCCTTCACGCCTATCCAGACTAATTTGGGCAAGAAGTGGACGTGGGTCTGGTCCCATATGATCTTATCCATCACTATGTCCTCAACTCATCAAATAGTTTCATCATCGCTGCCATCTGCGGTATTTCCGGCATCATCGTCACTTACTTCTTCATTCCCGACATGACCAATGTCGATCTCGCGGAGGAAGACAAGAAGTTCATGAAGGTCAGTGATCGTTGTGGACCGACACGGCCCAGGATATCTGACGAGGATCCTTGTAGTACCTCGATGCACAGGGTTGGCGTGGCGAAGTTGGCGAGGTTGTAGAGATTGTACGCGACGAGGAGAGTTTCGCTTCTGACGAGAAGGTCAAGGAGTAGATGCCGGGGCAACTGGATAGTATTGTGGCATTTTATCAGGCATTATATGTGTCGTAGCACCGGAAGTGGACACTCGAGGCACGAATGTCAAACGCATCAGAGCTCACATCATGGCACCTTCGGTCAGGTATTGGAAGTAAATCAATGGGATCGTAAAGATATGCTATCAGGGCACCTCGGCGATCATCAGTCAAGTGTTCATTTCCTTCCTGATTTGATCCATTTGTCGCCGACGAGTGGTGTCTGTCATGTCATTAGCAACATCAACTACACTGAAAGGGTCCTACGCACCAGTCCAAATACCGCTGGTAGCGATGCCCAGACGTTTTCACGTCGAATCTGAATCTGTATGATAGCCTGAGCGCGACATTTCGGACAAACGAGGGCACGATTCCGTCCAGAGGCCATGGGTAAGATGACGTTCAGGGAGTCACCAATCAACTCTCCGAAGGCCTCCAATCGCAATAGTATGTCGCCGGCGCTGCACAAGAACATCTTGTTCTTCTGCCATGCCTCTGCGATCCCTTCTTGACAAGATGGACCTGCACCAGGTGCTCGAAAAGGGCAAGCAGAGAAGTCGGGATTAGGCTGGACATAGAGACCCTGACTGAACGCAATATATCTGCGTAGCTGGGCTACGCCTGATATGAGAGTGACAAGATCTTCAGAGGATAACGCCTTCAAGTCCAAGTCGCGGTGACAGAAATCGGCTGCAAGGGAATCGAACGTGTAAACGCGACAGAGGTCATAGAATGCCGCCGGAAGTACTTCAGGTATGTCATATTCTCTTGCGAGCAGTATTGTCGTTACTGAGATTGAGTTAATCCAACCTTCTATGATCATCGATGTATCTATGACCTTACCTGGATCAGCAAAGCCTGCGGCACGTTGTGCGTCCGGATAACGTGAAAGGGTAGTCTGTAATGCATCCCATTTCTCCAAGGTCATTGGCCATTCATTGCGGATTTTTCCCTTTACGATCTCACTAAGCGCTGGAGCGTCGTAGTTCTTGCACATGCGCAGCATGCCTGAAAGCACAGCTGGAAAGTTCGAGCGACTGACAAATTGGCTGTCATCAGATGTAATCGGGTAGGAATTGAGGTGACTGGTAGTGAGGAGTTCGTTCAGCATATTGTTGATAGTACGACTTGGGACTAAGCGTACTTTGGTAGGTAAAGCGCACGCAAGAAGTCGTCTACGTCACTCGCGCTTTCTGGAAGTTCCAGCACAGCTATGCCATCCATGCGCTCCGAGATACCGTCCAAAGAGAGCCGACGGAAGTAGCCAGCTTGCGTTCCGAGTAGACCTTTATGCACGCGAAAGAGAGTGTACGCGGGTTCATCAGTTTCGGGTCCTTCTGCCCGAGCACGGAGGATAAGGTTGCCGTCATCAATCCATAAGTCAGGGCTCTGTATCTCGAGGCGAGCGGAGACGTTCTCGTGCTCGGATTTGACGCGTTTCCGAGGGTTCTCCATGCCAGATGGTGGTCGGGAGCAAGACGCGACTGGCATGTGACCGCGAAGGGCGCGTCGACGCGTCTGGCGGTCGACAGCACGGCGCGTCTCTCTGAGTCTCTCAGCTTGCGTCCATGTCTGGGTTGCGCATCACACGCTGTTTGTCTTTCCTCCCACGCTCACCAGCCGCATCTCGTCTCTACACCACTGCGACTTCAGTCCGGCCTCAGGATGCAAACGGCCAGCCCACTGCCAGCGCATCCACAGAAGCTAGCTCTTCGTCTGAGCAACCCGTTCCGGAGTCGACGGGTGCAAAGAAACCGCGGAAACGCAAGGCCAAGGCGCCCAAGAAGCAGCCCGAGCCGATAGTGGAGCCGAGCGGGCCTGTGCTAGACGAGCTACTACAGGACTTGCAACAGCAGCAGAGGAGTGGAACGGTCACGCTCGAGGACGTGGACCGTTACAAGCCCACCTACATTCCCTTGGAGGATCAGCCAACATACAAACAGGAGTATGAGCCTGTCATGGATCTGATATCGTCGAGGTTCTCTAAGAACCAGCTGCAAAATCTTGTCATACAGTCTGGATTGCGGCCCCCAGCACACACTAAAGCTGGCTACGTGAGCGCAATATTGGATCAACGATGGGGGATGCCGCCTCCCGAGGACGTGCAGGAGAGGTTGGATCATCGGAGAGTAGTGGTGAACACTCGTGAGTGCGCATGCATTTTGATGGTGGCGTTGGCTGACCGGTCGGATATCAGTCGTCGAGATGGACCACGCACTCTTGTTTCATGTAATTGGGAAAGGTATGTTGCACCCATTTCACGCGTAGCCTAATAGAGGATGACGATTTAGATGGAAAACGATTGTTTGACATATCCCGTGAATATGCTGTCCGCGCCCATTTCAGCTCGCAGCCTGTTGGCATATCTTTCTCTGGCTCTCAGCAGTCCATTCAGGCTGTGCGACAGAGCATATGGGATATCAAGAAGGTGCGGCTAATCAGGCCATACTCTTGGACTCAACCCTTACGATCATTCAGACCCTTATCAAAGAATCATTCGTGACGCCCCATCGACGGCCCATTCCAGAACACCTCGTGCAGCAACTTTCACGACTCGCAGATGCATTTGTGAGGAACGATGGCAATTCAGGCCGAGTAAGAGCACACCTATGTATGTTGGTGAACACTATTGATCATTCAATAGATACACGTAGTCGCCCGTGCACCTGAAGCTATACAAAGAGTGAAATACCTAGCCGCTCAGGTGACGTCCGACGTGCGTGATATTATGTCTTTCCCTTGGTTGCTTGCTGATGCGATGCAGTTTGGGGTGTCTCGCTTATTCGTCTTGCAAGCTTCGATCGATGCGCCCCAGGAACTCCCATCGACACTGAAGAGTGCATATACACTTATGCCATTCACCTCACGGCTTCTGCCATGGACTCTTCAGCCGGAGCTTCTACGCTTTCGCCGAGTTGGCGATTGGCTAGGGCTCGCCTTGCAAGATGATACGGCAGGTGCGAATGGATTGGCTGGCAGCAAGCGCATCATCCGGACAATTAATGAGTAAGGCCAGATTAGTAATATGTGTACATTGTCACGTCTGATCCCTCGACAGCGGGACGACGAAACCACTTCGTGACGCTATTTTGTCACATTTTCCGTCCTATAGCAAGAAGGTATACAATCATCGCTCGATTGTGGCAATGTATGTACTCCGTACTTGCCGTTTAGTACGTCGCTAATTCACCTAGTCCGGGTCACATCGTCTTTTCAGCGTCTTCCCCTGGGCAGAATGGCGGGTTCTCTATGTCATCATTCGCAGAAGATGTCCAGAGGAATCCTGTCGAGGTCATAGGCCAGCCGACTCGGGACCTCATGGAGGATGGACACCACTTCCTGTCCAGTATGCCCCCCGAACTCGCCGACGCCCGCCCGTCGCCGCCCCACCGGCTCAAACGGTTACTCTACTTGGAGACTGGCTCTGACCCATCTGCCGTCAAGGACTGGGATTCGTATTCGCGCGCGACATCCTATATTGAGCTTGAGATTCCTCTTGGGGAATCGAGCGGCTCAGTGACATGCAAATCCGGCATGACGATGACCACGGATCTCCTGCAACCCGAACGTTTCATGGACGTGCGCTTTATCGCCCGCGACTATAACTTCCTCGGGGACGATGAGCGCCCTCCGGAACTTGTCGAGTACCTGACCAGGCCCATCAACCCGCCTCTGCATTTCACATGGCGTGGAAAGTCATACGTGTTGGCGAGGCGAGAGAACGTTGACGAAATGACCACCTTACTCTTGCGCCCGGACTTGCAAGTGACAAGACGCAGTGTGCTTGCACTTGACACCCCTGCCGAGCGCACGAGTACATGCAGTGTCAGCTTAGGGGAGGATAGCGAGTCTGGGTGGGCGTCTTTGGCATTAGCGTGCGATCGGCTCACGGGAAGGGGCTTCGCTGCTAGCGCAAAATGAGCGGTATGAGTGCTTAGATATAGAGTCATGCTCATGTTATTTAATAGTATCACTACATCACTCATATTAATATCGGAATGCTATCGTCCATTTATGCCGCTGAATAGCAGAAGATGCATTGCTCAAAGAAGGGTTGTCGTGATCCAGAATTCCCACGTCAGGTATCTCTCCAAAAATGATGGGTTTTGAATGACAGGTAGGGACACAGAATGTAGCAAGCAACAACAGAGTAGAAGACATACAACGCAATCAGAGGACGCTTAATGTTTCCTCTTCTTATTCTCCTTCTCCTTGCGTTTCTTCGCGCGCAACTCCTTCCGCATACGCGAATCGACCATTGTGTAGCGACCCTTGACGCCCTTCGGACGCCCCTTGATCCCCTTGTGCGCACCCTTCGCCACGACGACCTTCATCTCCTTACGCTTGCCCTTGCTCGCGCCCTTCGCAAGCAACTTCTCGACCTGCCTCGCCTTCTCGCGCTCGCTCATCTCTTCGGTCTGCGTCACACCCTCGGCCTTCTTCATGGCCTTCTCGAGGCGCTGTGCAGCCTTGAGCTTCTTGCGCGCTTTGGCTTCGGCGACCTTCTTGATGGGCCGAGCGTCAAGAGCACGTTGCTTCGCGCGGAGCGCTGCCACGGCTTCTTTCGTGATTGGCAGATTGGGTGTGTAGTGCTTCGATTCGTCATCGAGGAACCAGGCGGGTAAACCGTCTTTTGCGTTGAGGGAGTAACGCGAAAAGCCGTCGTTCAGTAGATCTGTCTTGGTCTTTTGTCGATTCACGAGCTGTTGCGCCAACGTCACTGCCTCTGCTGTGAGGAGACCACGATCTAGAATGCGACCGTGAGTAGATAGCACATGTACAAGGTTGCGATGCTACAAACCTTTGATGATGGCAGCCTTCGCTGCATCCTCATCCTCATCTTCGACATCCCACATTGTCGCGTCTTCTGGCTCAGCAGGAACCACCTCAAAGTCGTCCTCTTCTTCATCGCTCGGCGTTTCGGGTGAATCCTGTCCAGCATCAGTACGACACCCGACAATTCTAAGCGTGAAGGCACATACCGGTCCACCAGCCTGACTACTCTCCATATCCTCGTCGCCCTCCTCATCTTCCTCTTCCTCATCTTCCAGCTCGTCAAGACCATCGACCGCGTTGAATACGTCTTGGCTGAACCACATATCCGCCGCGCGACTGGGTGCCGGTGCGGGCTCACGCAAGTCCTTGACCAACCTCGCCTTCTTCTTCGCGCCACCCTTCACGGACGCTCTTGATCGCTTCTTCCCAACCTCCTGCGCCTCCTCTTCGTCGCTGCTATCCTCATCCGACGAATCATCAATCCTCATCTTGGCCGCCAACGTCTCCTCGTAACCACCCGCCTCATCCTCGTCACTCGACTCATCATCCGAGTTCTTCTCCGTCGAAAACCCGTGCCAGTCTCCAAGCTCCTTATTATTCTTCCGCGCCTCCTTCGCACGGAACTTCGCGCTCCTCTCGGCGAGACGCTGTCGATAGCTATCGTACAGCCCATCGAGATCACCCTCGAGCGCCGCGGTACGCCTTTCGCGCTCATCCTCCGAGTCGAGGACCTCCTCGTCTTCTTCCTCTACCTCACGGCCCTCATCCTCTCCCTCGTCGTCCGAGTCAGCGCCGGCATCACCCGACACAAACTTGCTCGCGCCCTTCTTCTCCGCCTCGCCAAGGTCAAACATATCCTCCGCGCCCAGTGCCGCGTCCGTCTGCTCCAGACCGATATCCATTGGCGCGCTCATCTGGAGCTGCATGCGCTGCACCGTGCGCGTGCGTTGTTCGTTCGCGCGCCGACGATCGCGTTTGGTGCGTGCGGCTGCCTCGGCGTGTAGACGCTCAAGCTCGGTCTGAATTTGGGTGTCCTCGTCCACCTCGACGGTCTCTGCGGCCTCCTCCGTCTCATCTGCATCCTTCTCTTCCGCCTTTCCTTCCAGACCGAGCTCCTCACGCAGCATGATACGCCACTTCAACAGCGTCTTGAAATCGCGCTTGCCGAGGACCTTCAGATCGTCGAGGTTCGCCTTGACGTCGCCAGTGGTGATACCCATCTCCTTCCACCCTTTCTCCTCCTCGCTCTCGAACAACATCTGGTTCACGCTTCCAAGTACACCAATCGGGTCCTCCGCAAACACAAATTGCGATACGGGCACGCTCGTGTGCAGGGTGTAGTCGCCGTCGGCGTATCCATCACGTTTGCGGCGCTTCTTCTCGGGCTGGAAGACGTTCGTTTGCGCCTGGGCAGCGGCGGCCTTTGCGGAGGGTGCGGAGGAGATGGAGGCGGAGAGGTCTTTGAAGACGTGTTGCGGGTCGAGGAATTTGGGGTCGACGTGTTTGGGCGCGAGGAAGTCGCGGCAGACGACGAAGATCTCAGCAGAGACGTTACTACACGCCACAAAAATGATGAGAGGGGCACGTGTGATGCAGATCAGAAAATACGCACCGCGAGGAAGGGGGCTTTGTAGCCTCGACCTTGCCGAAGAGCTGGGAGAAGACCCAGATGAGGTTGTTGTAGTCGACGGAGCGGAAGACCTTGGTGACGAATGTGCCGCCCTTTGCGAGGAACTCGACGGCGAGTTTGAGGGACATGAGCACGAGCTCGCTCTGCGAGTACGCGTCCTGCACCCAGGCAGTACCGACATTCGGAGCACCGTCGTGCATTACTACATCCGCCTTCCAGTCCTTGATCTCTCCGCGTAATAGATTCCGACAATGCGAGGTCGTGATGTCTGCCGCGAAGGTCGAGACGCGTGGAATGGGTTTGATGGGGACCAAGTCGACACCGACGATGAGCGAGTTGACGGGCATATATTTAGACGCGACTTGAAGCCATCCTCCGGGCGCGGCACACAAGTCGATGCAGCATCGTGCGCTCTCGAGAAAGTTGTATTTTTTGTTGAGCTGGATGAGCTTGAACGCCGAACGCGCGCGGTACCCTTGCTCTCTGTGGGGCACGCGTTATGTTAGCGGGCTGGGATACACGAGTCCAGGGTAAGGTGTGACGCACTTTGCGAGCTTGTAGTACTTGTCGAGACGGCCCTTGCCCGTCTTCTTTTGCGCCTTGCCCATGGTGTAGCAGGCGGCGAAGTGGTGTAAGAGTCCAAGAAAGGTTTGATGGCCACAACAACAGATCGTTGGAAATGAAGCGGCGTCGATGCAAATCTCGCATCGTGCGAAAAGATCCACGCGATGATAGGGGGTTCAGGAACATCTTGGGCAACATCTGCGTACGACATTTTCCGTCTCTCGACGTCCTGCGTCGTATGCGATGCCTGCAGGAGGTTGCTTGGGTGCATTCGACCTGACACTGACTTGTCGTTTGCATATCGAATATGCAGCGAACGTGCTGGAAGGAAGGCATTGAAATGACTAATGAGTGAGAGCACGTGAAGTTGAGAATCGCAGTTGGTGTGCTGGAGTTCGTTTGAACCACCATCACTGCCCCTCGCACGGCCAATTCCCACTCTCCCTCCCTCCCGGCCATGGACGCTCGAGCAGCCCTGAACGCCGCCAGAGAGCAGGGGCTCGGCACCGTCGCCGCCAGCCTCGGCTTTTTCACCCCCTCGGCCCAAAGTTTTCACCCCCGCCCCTACAACCCCTCGGCGTCGGCGTCGTCATTGCCCATGGCAAAGGCCCCCGCCGCCCGCAACAACCCGCTCCAGCACCCGATGCCCCCCATGGACCCCACGGTGCAGGACCCCGGCGTCGTCTTTATTCACCCGCCGTTCCACGATTTCCCTGACGCTCACCGGCACCCCGGCGGGCTGACCTATGCGCTCATGGCGGCCAACCCTGAGTGGTTCCTCGACGCCGACGACTTTATTTCGTCAGTCTCCAGCAATCCGAATGCGATAACGTACCCCTCGCAGCTGGAGCCGCCGAGGGGATGGTGCCCTGCGAAGAAGAAGGACCTGAAGGAGCGGGGGATGGAGACGTGGCCGGAGGGGGAGGAGCCGCGGCTTCGGTGCACGTTCTGCCGGCGGACGTACGCGGGGGTGAACGCGAAGAGTATGTGGCGGCGCCATGTGTTTGAGAAGCACAAGATTGCGATGGCAAACAGACGGGACACCGTCGATCGCTCCCGCTCAAAGCAGTCATCACAACGCAAGTTTCCTCTTTCCATTGTCTGCCCGATTTGGCTGACGGTCCGATCACAGCACCCCCGCAAGCGCCCGGCCAGGCGGCGACGAAGAGCGCGCAGGGCAAGGAGAACGTCACCGCTCGCTCGGCCCGTAAGGATTCGGCAACCCCTGCGCCGGCCTCGGCACAGCAACCACCAAAGTCGGCCAGGCTGCGCCAGTCCCGCGCTCAGTCCAGAGTCACCGCCCCGCCCCAGAGCCGGGAGGGCACGTTTGATTCTTCCCAGGACGAGTCGGACGACGACGAGCATGACGAACCTGCGACGCCTGGAGCGCCCGTCCTCGTTCAGAACGAGTTCCCGGCGTCTAGCCAACTCGCTCACTCCTTCTCGGTCTCGACCACCTCGGCCAGGAGCGCCTCCCCGTCCTTCACTTCGGACGCTGCCGCCGAGCTTCTCTCCAACGGCTTCCAGTTTGAGCCGTCGTCGGCCCCTGCGAGCGACGACGACGACGACTTTGAAGACGAGCGGGCACTCCTCCGCCAGCTGATGCCCTCATCGCCCTACGACCCCCACGCAACTCCGTCCTTCCGGCACTCACCTCCGCGCGCCGCACAACCCTTCCGCTTTGCCTCCCCCTCTCATCCGCTGCACTCCAAGGCAGATGTCTCGCTTGGTCAGATCGCCCTCGGAACCGCCAGTCCGGCTCAGGACGGCGCTTCCGGAGCCGCCATCACTTACAGCCCCGTCAACATCCACGGGCCCCGGTCGAACAACATCTTCAGCACCCCCGGGCGCCCGTTGTTCAGCGACAGCGGAGTCGGCCTCGGGCTCAGCACGGGCAAGAATCTCTACCACAGTATTCTCAATTCGCAGGCCGCGAAGCAGGGCCCGGGAAGGGACTACCTCTTTGAGTCACCCGGTTTCCGCTTCACACCTCGCAAGACGATCGATCCGCTCAGCGTCGACCCCTCGCTCGACCCTTTCCTGCGCGACACGCCAGGTGTCCCCCGCAGCTCAAGCCCGCCGACGGGCAGCAGCGAGACGGAGAGTCCTGTCATGCGCTCCGGTCGGCTTTTCGATCCCGTCTCATCTTCCGGAGGGGGCCGTAGGTCGAGCGGGCTCAGTCTAGGCGCAGCCTTCGATCTCAAGGCGCTTAACCTCAAGCGAAGCGCTCCGTCTGACGACGACGACGCGCCGGCCAAAGATGAGGACGAAGACGACGACGGCGAGGGTTCGCCAGGCGAATACGGTTTCTCCGGCCGGTTGCATCTCGCCTCGCCCGTCTCGCGCGTGCGTCTCACGCAGTCCAAGGGATACGCCGAGCTCGCTCTCCGTGGTTCGCCGACGACGAGCGTTTCCCGCGAAGGCTCGTCCGCGAGCGAGGGCCTCGGCCAGCCTCTTCGTAAACGCCGGCGCACGCTCGTCGATTAGACGCCAGCCCTCCGCCTTCTTTCTCCCAGCTCGCTCGCCCTCACCCTCTGTCGCACCTTCGCTGCTGTCGTCCGTCTCGCTCTGCCTTGCCCCCCTCGTGCATCACTATGTATCCATATGCCCTCGTGGCGCGCCCCATGACTCTTTCTGTTTACTCACGTATAACGTATGTATTGCCAGCCCCTCCCGCGTCTCGTACTCCCCTCCTCGCCATCTGCGAACGATTGTTTATACTTACTTGCCAGAGCTTCGGTCCCTTCTATGCTACTTGTGCCATTTTGTCTTATTCTCCCCCTCGCGAACCATCTATCCTCACTTATCGGTTAGACCGGCTCGTAGGAGCTCGGTTCTCGTTCTCGTAGCAGTCTCTTTTCCTCCCTCAGCACGTATATGCGGTTGGTCTTTATCGTTCTGGTTCTCTGGGTACCGTCGGGCAGCGCGATCGAGTATTAGGCACGATCTCGCTGTTCAGGCTTCTGCGTACTTAATTGGCTATCGTCTCCGTTTGTCATGCCTCGTTCTCGAAACCAAGCTCATCTGTATTTCCGATACATATCGCAATCGCATCTCCGTTTCGTTCGTCTATGCACCGCTCGCCCTCCGGTATTACATTATTTGTCGATTATTCCAAGAGGTCCTCGGTAGTCCGAGGTACTATTCAGTCGCGTATATGAGTTGAATACACGATCGTACAGACCTGAGATTGCAGGTGATGCTGGTTGCTGGGGATCAAAAGAACATTATCGATAGCCCCGGCTTTTGTTTGTCTGTATTTGTCATGCCCATATACGGGTTTAATTCACCCTTTTTTGGGCGCGCATGTTCGTTCTTGCCTTTCTCGTCCATCTCCTCCGTCTCCTTTTCGGGTCCTGCGCGACTCTCTTCGTCCGTCCTTTCCGCTTTCGTGCTGTATCTTCTTTCCCGTTCTGCCTTAGCTCATCTCCCCGTCGCTTTGCCCCCCTACTCGCCCCTCTAACCTCCATGGCGTCTCCCTTTCTATCTTCACTTTCTCGCCGTCCTGGTCCATGGCCTCACCTTCGCATGATCATCTGCACTATTCTTCCCCTCCTCCCCGACTAATTCGTCAGCCTTTCATTCACTGCGGCCCCATACCCGCCGCTTCCCCTGCTCTTCGTACATCATGCACTACATCTCCTAGGGCACCTCCTCCCTTCTCGGGCACCCCTCCGAGCGTGTACTCTCTAACCCACTCCGTGCTCATCGTTGACTGTCCGCCAACTACACAGCTGTCACAATTCTACTTCTTCACCAACTCGCCGTTCACGCCCCGTTCGGCGTCTCTGCGCGCTTGACGGCCTCGTCACTCATATTCGCCTTCATACTTCATCACCTATGTATGTCCTTTCTTCTCCGTTCGTACGCGTCCTTCTAAATACATCGGGTTGTAGATCAACATCACGTCGTTTGCTTTCGCCGTGAAGGACAACTGCCCCCATGCTGCATGCGTCGCCTTCCAGCGGTCTTCTCACCGCCCCGTTTCACAATCCCCTTCGTTCTTCCAACCGCCATATGTCCCTCTTTTACTCCATACCGATTTTGCACTCCTGTTTTGCTGCCACTCGATGATCGGGCTCCTCCGCGCGCAAATTTGAGTCCTTCCCGCGCATGATCTCCGTCCATGCCGCCCGTCGCCCGTCGTTTTGCTCCCCCTGTCTGCTGATTGCTGTATTCCCTTTATGAGCGCGACTCTCTATTGTTGATGTCCCTTTCGTTACGAGCTATTGCTCTGCCTAAACTACACCTCTCTATCTAGCTGTCTATGGTCTAGTATCCACGCCACTGAATTCATCACTTCTCGCCCGCTCTTCTTATATCGTGCCCCGCCCCTCTGTCTCAACCGTCTCCCTCTGTTCTTCTCGTCATATCGGATGAATGAAGGGGAGAACATCACGTATCGATCCTATTGTAGCTTACACACTATGCAATTTCACTATCAACCGATGAACTTTCTCGCGGCGGAGCCGCGACAAGCCTTGTACGAGAGATCGGATGTTCGGCGCGGCGCAGGCGCGCTTCTTGTCTCTTCCCATCATTGGCACCGTTGGCGTCGTGGGCAACGGTTTTGAAGGCTTTGCATCGTTGACACCATCGCCGGACTTTACTTACGCAGCGCCACACAGTCGCCAAGTCCGCGATAATGGTCTGATCCCCAGCGTGGACGCGTTCGACCTGGTGCAACGGCCTGTGCCGACGTGTACAGCTCTCCGTATTTCGGTCGGTCGATATTCACTAGGCGAGAGCAGACCTCTGAGTCTTTCGACCTCAGCGTTCTAAAGCTCCCAGTGTACCTATTTGAAGAACGAGTATCCCTTTTGCAATCGGGGCAAGGCATGTGCAGCCCGTCGCGAAGCTGTTGTGATCCTACGAATCGACATCAAGCCTATCTTCCTCTGTTGATTGAGCAGCCCCGGAAACGCCGCACGACTTGTAGAGTTTCGGCATAGTATATAGTCGAACCCTGCTGCGCCCGCCACGCCTTGACCTTTTCGTCTTCACCCCCCCAGCGGGCTTGGTTTTGTTTCAGGCCTTTGCCGTTCGCCGTCGTTTTCGTCTTTCGTTTTCGCCCTGGGGCTGGCATTTTATTGCGTCTACCTATTCGATCGTTCTCTGTGTCCTCTCGCTTTCTCACAGTCGCTCTTGTAAATCTATCATCATCTTGAAGATGAAGTCGTTCGTTATCAGCCTTCTTTCGCTTGGTGGCGTCGCTTTGGCGGCAAACGACTGGTCCAGGGCTTGCCATGGAGGGCAATGCGCTTGGGATGTACCTGCGTCGACGGTACAAGCCGGTTCGGCTTCATTGCAATTGGTATGCATATACAAGATCGCCTTTTCCTTCTTACTGATCGTCGCATCACAGTGGTCTTCCTCGCCATCGGCCATCACGGACATCACACCTGCAGCTGGATGGGCCATCCTCACCTGCATGGGTTCCGTCGCGGCTCAAACCGTCCGTATCGCGTGCACCGATCCTTCTTTCGGCTGCGCGCATCTCCTCGACTCTAAAACAAACCCGGTCGGCCGTATTGTGCGCTTGACTGACGAGGTATGTTGCTCTGCGCTTCTATCCGAAAGTTGAAACTGACAGGGTCACAATCTCTAATAGTGCGGTGTGATGCCGTTCGCTCGCATTGCGCACATGCGTCTCGCGGAGGATCAGACGCTTCCCCACGTTCTCTCGCGTCGCTCCTTGCCTCCCGCCGTGTATGATGTTGCGCTTGACACGGACTTCTCTGCTGCATCTGAGCATGGGCCTGTGAGCTTCGCCCTCACGGCATCCTCCCGCCCCGAGATTCGGGCTGGCAATGTCGAGCGCGTGCCCCGCGGCCGTTTCCAGCCGCGTGGCTTTGCGGACGAGCTAGAACAGCTCTCCAGGCGCGCGTACATCGCAGACGGCATCCGAGGTAGGGCACTTGATTTTGTTAGCGTTTCCGGTACATGGATTGACCATTTCTTGTAGAGCTCACTGCGCGCGATGATGGCAACACTTTCAACTTGACAAACAGCACCTCTTTCCCGGTAAACGTCAATCAAACCAACCTGAACGTCTTCAACACCACGATCAACTGCCAGTCCGCCTCCATCCCGTTCGACGCCAGCGTCTCCGCTAATGTGGATGCCGTTGCCGATGCGAAATTCACTCTCGGTGTTGTGGCCACGGGTACTATCATCCCGCCGGTGCTCAATACGGCGGCGATCACCGCTGGAATGACGGGTAGCATTGATGGCGCTCTACGTGTACAAGCGAGCGCGGATGGGACGTTCTCGTCGCCTAGCATTACGCTTTTGGACTTGCCACTGCCAGGAGGCATTGTTATTCCAGGGTAAGCGTCGCGTGATGCCATCCATATGAGAAAGATTGCTCATTGCATTGTAGTATTCTTCAGCTCGGGCCTGCATTCAAGGTCGTGGCCAGTGCCAACGCGAATCTCGGAAATGCGATAGACACAACCGTCGGTCTATCGTACAAGGTCGACAATGCTACTCTAGTCTTCCCTCCCGATCAAGGGAAGAGTAGCGGCAGCTTCACACCCAATGAGACTCGTAAGCGGTATCGTCCGTTCGTATGAGGCAATGGCATACTGAAAGTGCATGCAGCGCTACAGATCAGCACAGACACGAACATTACTGGCTCGGTATCGCTGACAGGTCATCTTATTCCGGAGCTGGTCATCGGCATTGACGCCTTTGAGGGTGTCGTTCAGTCTTCTATCACCCTCTCGCTGGACGCGTCTTCTACGATCGCCATCAATGGTACCGCGGGGATCACCGACTCGTCCAACTCGTCTGCTATCATCACTCCTCAGGGTGCATGCGTCGACGTCAGCACTGCACTCGACGTGAGCGCTAGCGCGAGTGGCAACCTCTTCGACATCTTCAGCAGTGGTGTGAGTGTGGATTTGTTCAACAAGTCCTTCGACCTCTTTAATGTAAGTGCCGCTTTGCCTACTATATCCGGCAGCCATGCTAAGTGTGTCCTTCTAGACGTGCACCGACTCGGCGGATCTGAACAGCACTTCATCAAGCAACAGCAGCAGCCCTGACACGGGATCTGTCGAGTCCTCTACTGGAAGCATGAACTCAACTTCATCTGACTCCGGCTCCGACTCGAGCTCGTATTCCTCATCGGATGACTGCATCTCGTCCTGCGCCATGACATACGGCCTCACCATGTCATCCACGACTAGCGCAGCAGCAAGCACCGCTACGGCTTCGAGCTATGATTCGTACAGCTCATCATCAAACTCTACGAGCTCCGGATCTTCCTCTTCATCGATGTACTACTGGTCCGCCCGTGCTATCCCGGTTCCCGTCGATGTACCTCGCGCAATCCCAGTCGACACGCAGTCCTTGATCAAGCGGGACACTACCCTGAGCTGCCCCAACTTGCCCTTCAACATCCACGCACCCACTGGTACTTCCAAGACCACTCCTACAGCTGCCGCGGCGTAAAGATAGCTCCTCCTAGTTCACCTCCCCCTTACCTTGCGCTTTTATTTATCGGACTTTATTTATTGGTTCAAGTTGTTGCTTTCGCACAAGATGTATTTATGTGGCTCGCTTTGGTTGTGATGACTGTAGCTCATCAGTGAATCGTAGTACTACGTACCTCGGACAGACTCGTTGGCGGCTCAATAATGAGCCAGTTGTATACGTTCGCGCTCTGCTGAGCAGTTCGCTATCAGGTTGACAATATTGAGTCGGTGTTTGAGAGATGTAAACGGTATGCCGAGTCTGAGCGTAGGGAGGCATAGAGATCCGAGATTCTTGTCGCTGAGGGCAACGAGGGATGCGGGTGCAGCATGGCGACTCGGCGCGCGGCGGACGCGGCGCTGTCGGCCCTGCACAGGTTGCCTCTTCCCACCATCGCTGAACATGAGGACGATCATCACCGTCCGGCGTCAAAACCATAGATCTACCTCGGCATGAAGCATATCCCAGCCCGCACGTCTTCTATCTGTACGGCATCATCTATCGGACAGATTTGTCGATGCACGGCGTGCTATGTAGCATCAGCGCCTCCTGCCATGGCATTCATTATACGAGTTGACCTTGCTAGTCCAATTGATCAAGGGCTGACCTGCCTGGCAGTATTGTTGTCAAAACTACTTACTGAAGAGTGCCTGCTCGACCTAGCCATGCTTGTCGAAGACTGGGAGGCGCTTCGGGTAGTGAAGTTATCCTGATCCTCGGGTTCAGCGGGATCATACGTATCTTAGTACCCTGGTTGATAGAGCAATCCTTCGGAAACGCCACATGAAACGACGATAATGCAGTATAAGATCTCTTATGGCCCACACGCTAAACTTCAGCCTCTTCGCCTTCCTCGGGCTTGTTTCTTTTCGGCCTCGTCTTCGTCTTCGTCTACCGCCTCCAGGGCAGACACCACATCCCTTTAGCTGGGATACCCATCGGCTGTATAACTCACACCTCAATCTCATTCGCTCGCTTATAAACCAGTCATCTCAATGATGAAGTCACTCTTTCAACTACTCTTGTTTACTAGCATTGCCGTCGCGGGGAATGACTGGTCTACAGCATGCCATCAAGGACAATGTGCGTGGGACTCCTCTACACACGGAGGATCGGCGTCTTTGCAACTGGTACGCAAACTGATGTATCGATGCATCTCAGTTGCTTACCATGTCACGGCAGTGGTCCTCGTCTCCAACCGCAATTGCGGATATTACGCCTGCGGCTGGCTGGACTATCCTTACGTGCTCGGGCTCTGCCGCTGCGCAAACCGTCCGGATTGCATGTGTGGACGCATCCTCAGGCTGCTCGCACCTCCTCGATCCAAACACGAACCCCATTGGCCGGATCCTACGTCTGACGGACGAGGTGCGATGCCCCTCAACCAGACCTTTGCAATCCTCTAATCAAACGCCGATAATGCGCAGTGCGGCACCATGCCGTTTGCTAGGATCGCGCACATGCGCCCTGCAGACGATCAGACTCTGCCCTCCGCTCTCTCGCGTCGTGCCGCGCCGCCAGCCGTATACGATGTTGCACTCGATACAAACTTCAGCGCCGGCTCTGAGCATGGCACGGTGAACTTCGCGCTGACGGCATCCTCTCTTCCAGACGTTCACGCTCGCACGATCGAGCGCGTGCCTCGAGGTCGTTACCTGCCGCGCTCATTCGCAGAAGAGCTGGACAGCGCTTCAAAGCGCGCGTATATGAAACATGGGCTTCGAGGTGAAAGCTTATTGGCATCACGAATTGGATCAAAGTTGACATGCTATGGTAGAGCTCGCAACTGTACCTCAGGAAGACTTTCAGAACTCTTTTGACAAACAGGACAATATGTCCTTCCCGGTCAATATCAACCAGTCCAATCTGAACGTATTCAACACGACGATAAACTGCCAATCCTCTCCCGTACCATTCGACGCAAGCATCTCCGTTGACGTCGACGCCGTCGTCGATGCACAATTCACACTCGGCGTCGTGGTTACTGGTCATCTTTTGCCGCTGCCTAAACTCGACTCAGCGGCGATCACGGCAGGGATGACCGGCAGCATCGATAGCGCTCTCCACGTCAAAGCCAGCGCAGATGGAATATTTTCGTCACCCAGCATTACGCTCCTGGATCTTCCGCTTCCCGGAGGTATTGACATTCCAGGGTTTGCCCATTTGTATAATTGATCATACTTGGCATTCATCATATCTCAGGATTCTTCAACTTGGGCCCGCGTTCAAGGTTTTGGCGAGCGCTAATGCCAATTTGGGGAACGGCATAGACACGACTATTGGCCTCACCTACCAGATAGACAATGCAAACATGGTATTCCCGCCAGACCAGGGTGAGAGTGGTGGGAACTTCTCGCCAAACGAGACTCGTGAGTATCCCGAGTTCATCTCCGCACACGCAGAGCGCTCATTCATATGCAGCTCTCCAACTCAGCATGGACACAAATGTCACTGGTTCGATCTCGCTGACAGGACATCTCATTCCTGAGCTCGTCATTGGCATTGAAGTCTTAGAGGGCGCTGTTAAGTCGGAGATCACACTGTCACTCGACGCATCTGCTACCGTGACCGTGGATGGTGGCGCAGATGTCACCGACACCACCGGCTCATCCGCAGTGTTGACCGCACAGGGAGCGTGTGTCGACGTCAGCACAGCTCTTGCAGTCAACGCCGGTGCTAGTGCTGGCTTGTTGGACATCTTTAGCAGCGGTGCGAGTGTGAACCTGTTCGACAAGTCTTTCGATCTCTACAATGTCGGATACTCTATCTCCTCTCGTCATCTGCAGAAGCTCACCTACATCATTGCAGAGTTGTACTGGTTCGGCCGACGCGACTAGCACGTCTGCGGACAATCGTGCCACAGCCTCAAGCTCCGTCGAGAGCCTGGCAAGCTCGTCTACGGTGCAGGCTTCTTCGGGTGCGTACAGTGCCGTGGACACTCGTGATGCACCCTTTCTGATCCGAACCTTAGCCGAGTATAGTGCTACCAGCATGACAACGAACATTGCGTCTACGGTGCTGGAACCCGAGCCAACAGTGACGTCTACTAGCACAGGATCGTCTTCGACAGCAACCTACTCCGTGTCTGCTCGCGCCCTCCCTGTCGCCGTTTCTGTGCCGCGCGCAGCTGCTGTTGATGTCCACTCCCTCAGCAAACGCGACATAACTTGCCCTCGACTACCGTTTAACATACACGCTCCCACTACCACTAACAAGGCTACACCCACCGCTACTTCCTCGTGAAGAGCACCCGTCGTTCTTTACCCCATTCGGTTTCTTTTTCTGTCTCGCAGAGCACAATTCTTCCCCGCGTACTGTATGTACTCATACCCACCAGACTCCAGACTCTAAAGACCTTTGTACTTGCCACTGTTAAACGTGGACTTGTGTACATAAATGCACAAAAGTGTCGTTTTGACATTCAGCATTCTTGTGCGGCAGGGATCACGCCGCAAAGTGGGTATCAATCCGAGCACTGTCTTGAAAAGACTACGATGAGAATATTCAAAGCACTATAATTCCCAACCCTGGTCGCCTTCTCCTTCCTTAATAAATGGTTTATCGAGCCCAGCTATGACGCTCTCACACAACGGGCAAGCTGCTGCAAGGATATCCTCGAGCTCGGCGCGCAGCTTCTCCGCTCTTTGGGCGTCCCGCGGTACCGCCCCTCCACGTGCAGACCCCCGTGCTCCTGGCGTAGCCGTCCCGTTTCCATTTGCAGTGCCCATTCCTGGGATCCATCCAACTGGTGCTGCAACGACGCTAGCGAGCGCATCAGGGACGATGAGATCGCGGAGACGGTCTCCAGCCGAGAGCAAGTTGCGACCAAGCCCTCCCCCGGCAGACATGAGTGTTCGCGCGGGTGCCGCCGCGGCACTCTGCGCGAACCCGAGCGGATCACGGCGGGCAGCGCCAGCCGCGGCTTGCAAGTGAGTGATCGCACCACGGTCAAGTGCACCTGGGTGCGCCTTGAGCAGCTCAGTTTGTAACCTGAGTACGCGCTGAAGCGCGGAACGTGGGAGGTACTCTCGCGAGAGTCCGATAAGGCAGTCCGCATGTAGCGCATGTTGACAAGGGAAGACGTAGAACTGGCGTGTGAGCAGGGGCAACGAGCACTCTGAGCACCTTTCGCCCACGTCGAGCGTCACGAAGCGGTTCTTGAGTGCTGCAACGGACTCCTTCATAGCATCCGCCGCGCGCGTCGCGTCGTCCATTTCGGCCTTGAGCGCATCGATCTGTGCACTGTAGCCCTCAAGTGCACCGGCAATCTCTTCCTTGAAGTCGTCGATGACAACGAAGTCGGGGAAGAAGGGGAGAATATCCTCAATCTTGAGCAAGTCCGTGTTCTCGAGGAACTTCATAGCCCTATACGAGGCGTTAGATGTACTGCTAGCAGAGTGGGGATGAGATCATACATTTTGATGTCCTGCTTGTCCTGGACAACGAACTTGGCTATCTTCAGCCACAGCGCCTTGCGGAGTTGAGGGTCATCTTCCGGCTTGTCTGCGTTCATCTGGGCAAGTTCGACGTCGCCCTTTTCAAGCGCAAGATCGACGGCACTCTCCCACAAGCCCATTTGCGCATAGATATGTACGCAGGGCTGTACACGTCCCGCCTCCTTGCATACGCGCAGGGCATAGTCGAGGTCGTAGTATGGCCGGCCTGTGAGTGGATCTGCAGGTGCGCCAGCTAGGAAGCGCAGCAGTGCGGCCTCGCCCTCGACCTCGGCAGACAGGACGGCGATAAGGAGATTGTGGATCGTGGGTGTGACGTTGCCCGCTTCGAACACAACATGCTGTAGATAGCGTGCAGCTTGATTGGGGCTGAGTGGGTCTCGTTTTGCGCGTTGCAGCTGAAGCAGTGCAGGCACTAGTCGTAAAGGGTCGAGATCGGTTCGGCGTAGCCATGCGTCCACGGTCTCCCGCGGAACAGCCCGTACAAGTGTTGGTGCAAAACGATAGTAGAGTTCGAGATCCTGCTGTCTGGAGATGACATCGAGTGCAGCGGACCAGTTCTCTTCGAGGATGTGATGTTCGACGACGCGTACATGATCGCCAATGAGGGCTGCATAGAAGAGGTACATATCTGTTCGCCCATGCCCCTGGATGAGCTCGTAGATCGTAGAGGGTTCGAGGTTATCCTTGTGGTGTTGGAAGAATTGTCGTAAGTCCTCCTCGACGATGACTCGTTCGGCTCTGACATTCTCCACATCGTATGAAGCTGAGGAAGAAGCAGCTAGATCGTCAAGTTCGTTGCATTTGCTCAGGAAGAACTCTACAAGCCAGGTCGCCAGCATCATGCGTTGACTGAGGTCCGCCCGTCGCGTGCGTTCCAGTCGCGCAACGAGGTACGTACGAAGAGCATCACGCTCTCCTGCGTCAATGAACTTGAGCGTCACCTCCTCGAATGAGACGGAGGATCTCGCATAAGCGTCTGCAGCAGGGAAGTACCGCCCTTCGGCAAAGTAGGCGTGGGCTTGTGCTGTGGTGATCGCATCGCGCTGAGCTGCCGTCTTTGCGTACTTGAGAGCCACATCGAACCTCCCCTTGGAGAGGTAGACCTTCCAGACGTCCCTGTCCTCGTTGCCAACGACGAGTTCGAAGAGCGATTGATCGGTATACACCCAGTATGTCTTGCGTACAGCATCCGCAGTGATCCCGCGTACTTGCTCGCCAGGTTTCTACATTCATGATGAGTGACCATGATGGGGATGGTTTCATGGCAAAGTTGGTACTGACCAACGGGAGAATCTCCTCGTATGCAAGCTTCTCATCAAGCGTCGAGACCGCCGCTATCCTGTCCCTGTAGAGAAGGACGAAATGGAACTCGGTCAAAGCCATCGAGATGGGCGCCTCCTGCATCTCCATGCCAGGTGTGGGGAACTGCGGGTACGGGAATAGTTGTGTATTGTCGACCAGGTTGTCTCCCGTAGCCTTCCAGTTGAAGGTACCGTGATAGACGCCCAGACCTAGACAGTTGCGCGCATCAAAAACCGTCATGCGAACTAGGAAGAAGGCACATGAAGACACTAACCAGTCATCCACGCCATTTCTTGTGGCAACGATTGCGCTTGGTCGCCCCGGTCATTGTAGTAGTGCAACTCAGAGTAAGCATTGGGGCTGGGAAGATCTGTCGCATCTGTACCGCATCTATGAGTATGATGATTCCTGAGTTCAGTGCATAAGGCCACTTACTCGGCGCCGCATCGATATATGCGGCGAAGAGGTTGGCATAGACTCTGCCGCCTCCATCGTCTCCTCTGCGCTCCGGTACACCAACAAATTGATAGAATCGACTCGGCGTTGTCACTGCGACAAGAGCTCTCCGTGGGTCGGTCGGTGGAAACACGTCCGCCGCCAGACCAGTGACGGGTGCGTGGTCGGGCAGCGCAAACACGGGTACGAAGTACCGCTCCTGGCTCTTGAAGAAATCCTCCTCTGCATCCAGCAATGCCTCGTACACCGAGCCGTTACGTGCACCCACGAGCATCTCACGTGTGCTCGTGCTCGAAGAGGAAGCGAGTAGCGCCGGACGAGCCCACGCGATGCTCTCGACGACGGTCTTCCAGGATTTGAGCTGTTTGGGTTTCTTCCATCCTTGGTAATAGTACCAGTTCTCTCCCTGCGAGCTTGCGATGATCAAGTGCCGCCCGGACGGGTCGAGGAAGAGTTTCTGGATGGAGAACTCGAGCGGCTTGCGCGGGATGAGGACAGACTGGACGCGGTCGGCGTGCGCGAGTTCAATCAACAGCACGGTATTAGATGCGAGTCCCATGGCCACAAAGTCGGACGAGACTGCAAGGGCGACCAGGGCTGCGGGGAGCGTGAACTGCACACGCCCGAGATCGAAGAGAGGTGTCTGCACGGCGGCATTGTCGTCCTATAGCACATGCGCTCAGTATCCAAGTAATCCGTGCAATAATACAGAACGCACCAGTGCCACGCCCTCGTCTAGTAGATCCTCTTCGGCGTGTGGCGCAGGTTCAAAGCCTTCGTATCTGAGTGGCGGCGCTGCCTGCGGGAGTCCCGCGGACGGGCCGGCGGCGTGCTCTACATCTGGCCAGAGAGCTGAGCTTATGCATACAATATAATCAACAGTTGCGCACAGTCGTCAAACATCCAGCGCGAGCCAGTGTGGATGGCCGGCGTGGGTTGGGTCGAACGTTCGTGAGCGCGTCCAAGTTAGACGCGTCGCGCGCCTTGGCACCGCTTGTCATGAACCCGTGCCTTCACGCGCTATGACCCCCAATATAATGTCATCGTGGAAACTTCCATTCCCGGCTTTAATTTGCTCTATGCAACGACGACCAGCCCTTCGATCAGGTGAACTGGCTCCTGTGCTCGTTCTCCGAGTTCCCTCTTTCCCTGTCGCAAGATGCGGCCAACCCCAGCATTAGCTTTATTTACGCTGGCCGCGACAAGTGGAACGCATTCATACGAAGTCCCGTTCGTATATGGAGACAAGAGTACGCAGGCGTGCTCTGGGATGTGGGCGGGTCGCAAGACCTTCATCAACGGTCAGTACGGCGTTCCATACGCTATACGACGCCCGCCTGATTTTTTGCCCTCAGTGACCCTGGATGAAAGACATAGCACTGGCCAACTTGAGATGCTCATTTTCGAGGCAACGGATGCGCAGTACATCGGCAGACCACACCTGTCGACGGTGTCGGTATGTGCCTCATGACATGTGCATGCGACGTTTGGTTTGCCGACTCCCCCGACAGTCGAGAACCTATTTCTGCAACCCATGGGACATCAAGGGTGGCGTATGTACTGAACAAGAGCGGGGGCACTTCCTGTTTGACCTGCCTAGCGACCTATCTTTAGCAAATACCAGTATACGGACGAGTCGACTGAAGTTCTCCTCCGCGAAATACCACTTCTCCGGATCACCCGACCCTGTCTTTGATGAGCTAGATCAGACGATGTATGACCAGCCGGGACAATCGCCGCTCCTTGAGCCCCTTGTCAGTCAGGAGATACCGAGCCCGCCACTTCCAATCCCGGAAATAGAATATTCCTACCCTGTACAATATCCTGTTCTTGAAACTGGTTATTACTGCGTCGGTGAGACCTATCTAACGTCGGCCATTACGAGGCGTTGAGCAGAATCTCCCAGCGTACCGCCCCGTGCTTCCGGCGCCGCCATACGAACATCCGATTATGCATTCGTACTACAAAGGCAAAGTTCTCTTCCACAACGATTTCGCGGGCAGACTGCCGGCAGCCGAGTATGCGAAACTTGTGGTGAGTTCTGGTTACCCGTGCAACACGATCCTTCGCTCATCACTCATAGTTCTACGCTGCAACCTTTTCCTTGTACTCTTTAGCAGCTCTCGTCTGGGGATCAATCTACTGGCGGAATCGCAAGAACATGTTACCCATCCATGTAGTCTCAGTCCTTCGCACGTTTCTGTACGAGGACTCATCAAGCCCATGCAGGTGTCGATAACTACCATCCTTGGACTCGCTAACTTGTACACGTTGCTCATGCTTGGTACGTTGTTAACCTCTGACATTGACGACATGCCAACTCACCGATGTATGCCTTCAGCTCACTTCGTGGCCATGAATTCTCATAAACGCAGCCATCCTTCCTCTATCCTGCATCTTGTGGCCCATGTGGTCCGCGCGGCGTACTACACACTTACGCTTGCCGTTCTGCTATCCATTAGTCATGGACTGAAGTCCGTTGGCGGTGACGGGAACTTCAATCTATTCGCCAAGATCTGCATATCCTGTCTCTCGGTGTTGCACCTTGTGTTTGGCAGTAAGTTGCAATCCTCATGATACGTAGTGAGGACTGATATTATACTTTCACAGCTCTCTACGCCTACGGGATGATACTCGTACTGGAGTACTATGTGAATGGACTCATCCTGAAGAAGTTCAAGGATTTCCTAGTTCCACTCGAGGTTGCAACGGCCGTCTTCGTTATATGGTTCATTTACTCGTGGACAGGTATGATCTCTCCCTTTCGAGCTGCTCCGTCAAAACTCACGCAGTCGCTTCGTACTAGTAACATTGAAGCGCATGACCTCCAGAACTCAACGCGCCGTCCGCCAGAAGATAACTCTGACAGGCTGCACATTCATACTCGCTCTCGTGTTGTACCTCGCGCTGCACGTCTACTTCTTTTACCGATCCAATCGCGGCATGGCACACCAGCGTACGTCTTCTACTCCAGAAGCGCTGATGTTTAATCATGACGAGCCACAATCATAGACACGGAAGCTGACGAATGGCAACGCGTATGGCTTGTCGACGGGCCAGCCGCCGGATGGCGTGAGTTGGTCTATATGCCTGCACTGCTGATTACTCTGTATATCTGGCGCCCTTCCGAAGCGAAGTATATGTATAAGGAGGTGCCGCAAACCGAGGACGCCGTAGCGGCGGAGGATGAAGCACATCCCGACGGCGTGCTTGTAGGAGGCGAAGATAGCGGTGTATAACATGGTCCTCAACGACTCCCTGTTTACTCAAATCGTACTGCGGTCTCTGGAAGTGTACTGCAAGTAGTGTAGTACATGTAACTCGAGGTGTAGGACGACAGTCTCACCGCTGCCATTGACGCACTGCTTCTGTGGGAAAAGATTCGGCAAATGCCGTTTGCATGGTCGCGGGCCGCCGGCGTGCAGTGGCGACTTGCTTGTGACAACGATCAGACGAGTTCATCTTGGCGACACAGCCTGTATACTGTGGCGCTGTATAAGAGCGTTGCTTTGTTAGATGAAGTCTATTGCCTCATTGGCTACCCCGAGTGGAGTCAGATTCTCGTTCCCTGCAGTAGCGCCGTATCGGTAAACTAGGTTGGGCCCACGCCGACCACTTCCTTCGACGCCGCACTCCGGCTTTGCAATCCGGAGTGACCCTCATATGAAAGCCGCCAAACCCACCCTTTCACTTGCAGTGTTTATCTTGGGCGTCACAGCCTATGAGGTGCATCTCAGCAATGGGATATTTCCATATGAAGTGTGCTCTGGCATGTGGGGAAGTCAGGATACTTTCATCAACAGTGCGGATTGTAGTCCTAATCGATCCACCTTGAATTTAACCTGACATACTTTTTCAGTCACATTTGACCCTCACAAGAGCTCCGGGCAACTTGAGCTACTGATATTTGAGGCGTCAGATTACCGATACATTGGTAGATCGCGGTACGGTAGCGAGCGTGTTAGTTAGCTATCTGATTGCACGATAATCTTATTCAAGTGGACTGAACATACGAATCAGAATAAACTGACCTATTGCGGGGAATGGAACTTCGAGCGGGGCGAATGTACCGAAGAGGAACGAGGTCATTCCATCTTCAATCTCGAAGATGGTGTGGCGCTCTCAGACACGAGCATCTGGACCGCGCGCCTCGCATTCCCTCTATCACGACCAGGACACGATGTCGATTCTCCGCAACGACTCGAACTTGCCGACTACAGCGCGCCTCGGGATCAGATACAAGGCCATCAATCTTCGCCACCAATCCCTTCGATAGAATACCGCGACCCTATCCACTACTCGGTACGCGAGGATGGGTACTATTGCGTCTGTAGGCGGCCTATAGCCCGTGTGTATCCCTCTTTGATAACGAGGCATCCAGTCAGGAATCCCATCCACATCCCATCTCCCGGTACTTGGCCGATGCACGATGGCACTGTCCTTTTCCATAATACGTTCATCAGTCAGCTACCGGCGGCCGACTATTCCAAGCTCGTGGTGGGTCAAACCGTCATATGAGGGCGAGGATCTTTGACACTCATTGTACTGCCAGTTCTATGCCGTGATGTTCTCTTTGGCTTCGCTCGTGACACTTGCATGGGGTTTGCTATATTATGAGAATCGTGACTGCATTCTCCCCGTCCAAGTGAGAAAAGGTCGCCGCTGTGCTACTACCCGATTATCCGCTGACTTGTTGACCTTGCCTGCATAGAGGATCTTGAGCGGCCTGATAGGCGTGGTCGAGTTTGATATGCTGATGGCGCTCGGTAAGAACACTGCATATATCGATCTACGCTTCATCTGCTGATGGTCAAAACACTTCAGTACATCTCACCTTCACGAATGACCTCGGACAGAGCACGGCCTCGGCGACCCTGCACTTTGTGACAGAGATTGTCCATGCCATCCGCAATACGCTCACACTGCTCACGATGCTTTTGCTTTGTCGTGGCGAAGCAGTCCTGCGCGATGATGAGGCGCCGGAACCTTTTACTGCAAAGATGAAGTGGCTGTTCTCTTTGCATCTCCCTTCAGGAGGTACGTCACAGTGCTTAAAGGAACCGAAGTGAACGTAGTGACCTCCGTCCAGTGTTCGTCGCATCTGGGAAGGTTCTCGACTTAGAGTACCCGAAACGAGCTACACAGATGTTCGAACTCACAACAGCGGAACAAATCAAGTGTTCCCTCGTGATGCTCGTACCAATCACAATCAGCATCCTGTGCGGAATCTTGGTATCATGGATCCGTACGTTGCCCCGTTAATTCAAGAGGCCATTTGTTGAGGTGAGTATGTGCAGATACTATGAGCGTCCTCTCTTCGCGAGGGCAACATACCATCCGGCGTAAATATAGATACACCGGTGGCATCTTTACCCTGGCTTTGGTGGTATACCTCACCCTGCGCATATATACCATCTATGGGTATGATAGCCGTGAGGATAATGCTTGTGAGTTTGAAACGCGTACACTGTATTGAGGGCTGGGGCGCAGAGCTGACTCCCGCGCTTGATCACTAGATCCCGAAGCGGATGACTGGCAACTGTTGTGGCTCACGGATGGGCCTGGCGGGTGGCTTGAGCTCCCATACTTCCCCGCCTGCATGGCCGTCGCGTTCCTCTGGCGACCTTCCAAGCGGATAGGTGCGATGGTTGCGTACGAAGAGATCTCACAAGCAGAGGGTACGGATCGTGGGATACACGCTCCCTCAGCCGATACAATGGACGAAGAAGAGGGAAGGGCAATTGATTGACACTGACGCGACATAGTGACTAAACATGATGTAGAAAAAATATCCAGTCTGTGGACCTGTCTTGATAGCTTGTGAACCCAAAGTTGGAAGCATCTTCGGCCGCCTTAGCGGCATAAAACCCCGTTCATTCGTGATACATCATACATCATACACGTACCGCGAGGCGGACTAGACTAGATCAGGCAACGAAGAAGAAAGAAGCTTGCTGCCTCTCACAAACGAAGGGCGACCGTCGCAGTGTTCTCATGCATGAACGTGACCCCCGCCCATATATGCGCGCAGGTTAGACGCGCTAGTGGCGCATGTAGATACCTGTCAATATCCGTCGAGCACTGGGGCCCGTAAGGAGGGTCGCCCTCTTCACTGGTTAACAAGCTTCGAGCGACCGGCTTTCTTTCGTAACCGGGCGGCTTTGCGTGCGCCGAGCTAAGGGGGGCGTTAGAACGCTATGCCAGGGGACAGCGACAGGACATTCACCTGTGCCTTGAGCTCTTCCGCGCGTTTACGTTCTTCGGCCGCTTTTCTACGCTCGAGGGTGATCTCTTTCCGCCTAGTAAATTTCGGGGTGAGCTCGAGGGGGCTCGGTATCAAACTTTGAGTACCGAGCGTACCGGGCTGCGTCGGCCTGCTTCTCGTCCTTGAGCTCGTCCTGGAGCTTTTTAATAGCCTGAGCCTTCTTTGTCTTTTCCATCCTGTCTTCCCATGACTTTGATTTTACGCCAGGCTGAAGATGGGAGCGGCTAGCGAATAGATGCCAGATTAGTGCGCTGATGAAAGTCATGAAATAAGCGAAGGCAATACACTGTCGGCGCCTTCTGGGACTTCCATGGCTTGCCGGACGTGCGACCATTGAAGGAAGAAGCGATGGGGACGGGGTCGGGGAGAGACATGATGGTGGGCGGAAGCAAGGGCCGGACATCCGAAGATTAGCAGGCGTGCGAGGGTTTGAATGAGATGAACGTTAGACCTCGACGGCCATGAGCGCGTTCCACAGCTCGTCGTCGTCGTCGATGCAACAGCAGCACGAGCTCCACGTGCGTCGGCTGCTGGACGAGCGCGCCGAGCGGGCGGGGCTGTCCCCCGTTGCGCCAAGCGAGTATGTCGGCGGATTCGAGACACCGTCGATGTACAGCGCCCGCTCGCCTCGGGCACCCTTCGACGACCCGAACGCGTCGGAACTCAATCTGGACGACGACGAGGACACCTACCCGCACCCACACTCACCCCCAATGTCTGCCCACGCCGACGACGAGGACACGGATTCGCCACATGACCTGGACGAGGAGGAAGAGCAGGAGCAGCGCATGAGCATGCTCGGTCCAAAGATGCGCTTCCACTCGCCCGCACCCTGGGAACTCGACGCGGACCCCATCAGAGAGCAGGACGAGCTCGACGACGACACACGTTCGTTTGTGTCCAAGCGCGGCAAACCTGGCTTCATCAAATCACTTGGCCTCGGGGGATCCTCCAAGACTTCCAGGCCCAGCACAGACTCGTCACGCTCGAGTGGCAGGGAGAAGAAGTCTTTCGAAACCACCTCTTCCTACGTCTCTGCTGGCGGCGCTCTGCAGTAAGTTTCGAACATGCATCACACAATTATTATCGCTAATCAAAAGAACCGAATTATAGTGCACTCGCGCAGGCGTCCATGTCCTCCACGTCCTTGTCTCACACTCCCTCGCCTGCTCCCGCCGCTGCGCGCTCGAAATTTCCACTGTCCAGACCGCGCACTCGCACGCAGTCCGGCGGGCCGCATAGCGGTCTCAGATTGTATCCGCCTGCGCCCGTCTCGTCCATGCCCTCACCGTCATCCACCCAAGCCTCGCCCGTCGGCTACAACACTCGTTCCTCATCACCTGCACCCTCCGCGTACTCCACCGCCCTCTCACGAACTGACACTCGCACCTCGTCGCGCCCCACCTCACCTCTCGGTCAGGAATTTATTCATCCTTACGCGAACCCGGAAGTATCCAGCCCGTACCGCGATTCATTCCACATCCCTCCCGTGCCCTCCTCTCGAGCGGCAACGTTACCCACGCCTGAGGCAAATGCGGGCAACGGATATTTCGGACTACAGGTTCCTCGAAGTTCTTCGCCCACGGGAAGTGTTGCGCCATCAATCGCCCCTTCTATGGTCAGCGGGACTGGAGATCATAATCCCCGTCGTCAGGGAGGCGGTTTGAACGGTCGCACAATATCTGGACCCATGCCGATGGATAACCCCGGCGGTACGCTACACTCTGTGCAGAGCTACTCGAGTATGCGCGCCCGCACCAACACACGGGAGCGTGATCCCAAGTTCCCGCAGCAGATGCCGGCTGGCTTTGCTGAGTTGCCATCGTCGCCGAACTTCAACCTCATCTCTTTGCAAGAGGCTCAAGCTCAGGCTCGCACTCGCAGCGTCACCGCGTCATCCAGCTCAAATGCGCCGTTCCTGCAAGAAGACCCATCACGCAGCAACAACAACAGCGGTCGCACACGTATGCGTTCGACCAGTGCCGGTGCAAAGGTTGATGCGAGCGCAATCTCTCCTGTATCTGGCGGCCCTCAGCCTAAGCTGAAGCACAAGAAGTCCGGTTTCATGCGTCTCTTCAACAAAGGAGACGAGCCGCCTCCCGTCCCTCCTCTCATCTACGCCAACCAGCCAGTGCCACCATCAGAGTACAGTCTGGGATCGAGCATGAGTTCAAGCACGAACCTGAGCGCCACCTCGCCATATACCCCACGCCCGCAGGCGCGCGTTCCCGTGCCACAACTCACCCCGGAAGATGAGCGCCCGCCGCCACAACGCTCGGGCGCTAATGATGGTCCTCCCTCCGCCGGATCAGGTCGCCGAAAGCATCCTCCTCCCTTAGCAATTGTACCGCCTGCTGCGTCTTCCAACACGCACCTCTCCGGTTCCCTATTTTCATCTCAGGAGGGCAACCCTTCCCGCACGACGCTCATGCCCGAGCGCTCTTCCCCACGCTTAGAGAGCGAACAACGCTACGAGCGCGTGCCGCGTGGGCGAGGAGAGCCTTCTAGCGCACCCCCCGGCGCTCCTCAGTTCCCGTCTCTCAGTTTACGCCCTGTGTCCACCGTCTTTAGCGCGCACTTCGCCGAGCTTGGTAGTGATTTCGGCATTGACCTAGACCGGGATGCCAGCCAGTCTTCGACGACCTCCGGACGCTCTCCCACCTCAGCCCTATCACCTATCACGCCTGGCTTCCCTGGCTCTTACGGTAGTTCGATGGATCCTACACGAGCAGGCTCGGAGAGCGGTGCCCTGATCGTGGACGCGAACAGCGATGACCCGAACGCGGTGATCGCGGCGCTGCAGGCGCAGATAACTGGCGCGCGCAAAGCATGGCAGCGTCAGATCTGGGAACTCGAGGGTCAAGTTCGGGATTTACGTGCTGAGATGGAGGAGATGCGGGCAAAGGAGCGGAGCGGCGAGAGATGCGCTTTCTGCGGGCGTGGTGGTAGCGCTGGATACGATGAAGCCGCGCTTGAACACCACATGCATGACATGCCTCGCAAGGGTAGTTTGCCGGGCACACCCGAGGTGTCTGTCGGACGCGGTGGTGTTGTCAACCGCCCTCGGGCTCGTACAGGCGTTGGAGGACGTTTTGGCGCCGCGACCTGAGAACCCCCACACAGATCCTATCTCCGTTCCCATCACCCTTGGTTTTTGTTTGTCTATAGGCTGTTGTCTCGTTGTCTCACCTCCACCCCACTCTCATTGCCGGACGGTCACTTATTCAATATCTCATGCCCCGCACGACTACTGTCTAACTTTATACTCCTTTATCACTTGTTGTAATTGTGCGCTGCGCCGCCTTCCTACCTTCAACCGATTTCCCCCATCATCCAGAACTACCCCATGCGCTACCTGCGTCTGTTGTAGACATCCCTTCTCCCACACTTCCCAAAGCCCCTGGTCCATAACCACGGACTTCCGATACCTTCCGCTTTTCGTATATCCTGCCCCAAGTCTTCCCGCACCAGTCCTCTCATCGCTCGTTTGTGTCCAGTTTGTTCCCCACCTCTCGCACGTGCACCCCACTAGCTACTGTCACCACCTCGTCGTGCGTGCACTACGAACCTCTCTTTTGTCCGGCGGAATGTCATTGATTTATTCCCAGCGCAATACCACTAGTACGCTGCGCTGTCGATGTATGCGTGTGGGTCCGATCAAAATGCAAAGTCAAAGCTCGATCCGCAATTAGACGCCCATATAAACAAACGCATATAGCATACAGATGGCGTTCACGATGCCCGAAGCGCCAAGCCGAACCGTTAGTAAAGCATGGCCGATGACCGAAGACAGGTACTCGCAGGAGACACTTTTACGCTAGATACAACTATGCACCTTACCGCCAGTCAAAACGCACGCCGCACTAGAGACGCTTCGTTCTGTCCGTGTTAGATTCGTAAGTACTTCTTTCTCCATTGTCGAGATGTTTTGTGATAACATGGATCTGCGTATCTAGGCGGACGCTTCTCCACTAAGCAGCATGACATGCCCTTCCCCGGGCTACTTGACCTGAACGACGATGCCCTCCATGTTCTTCTCTGGGTGACCGCTTGGGTCCACCCTCCGCACTGGGAGTTTCAAGGGTCCGGCCAACCCCACGATTGGGAGCCCCATAGTCTGTCAAACTACCCTACATATCTCGAGACGCATCCTGGCCCCAAGTTCTGCTTGGGATGGGTATACCTGTCACAAGTCTGTCGGCGGCTGAGGCGGATATGCTTCGCGTCTTCGGCATTATGGGGAGGAATTGTACTGGCTTTGCCTTCTCTGTCTTCCATGGAGAGTCTGCTGGTTCGAGCCCACCAGGCTCCCTTGCGATTGTCTCTGCCATCTACCGATTGGAGAACACCCTTCGCCAATCCGGCAGACCCGTATTGGCACGGCTATCGTGCCAGGACCGCTTTTGCCGTCAAGCACTTCGAGCGCGCCGTCAGCCTCGAAGTCCACCGCGCCGGTGCACCACATCTTGTGGACTGGCAGCCTCTTCTATGCGGACATCCTCTTCCGTATCTGCGCCACCTCGCGATATATCAACCTCATTACCCTGGCCGCCCTCGTCGTTTCTACCTCAATACCCCCAATCTTGTTCACGCTACCATTGACGGCGGCCTCTTCCCATCATTCACCTACCCCTTGAGGCTTCTTCGCAAACTCAGCATTTCGCTACACCCTCGAGGCTCTCTCTCCCTAGGGAGCAACGCGCCCATCCTGAACATACTCAGTGGGACGCCTTTGCTCGAGGAGTTGAGCCTTCAGCGGCTCGATATCGTCGCCGGTGGCGCCATTGATGAGCCTCTGCGTGAGCAGTCGGTGTTGTTGGCCAACCTGCAGACCGCTTCGCTCGACGTTTACGGCTCAGGGCACCCCTATCTTTGGTCCTTCGTTCAGGCGCCGGCGGAAGCCGATGTCCAGTTATCCTTTTCCGGATACGCGCACAGACACGACGTCGTCAACATCTTCCGCGCGGCGCTGCCACAGCTACGCTGTCCTGCCTATGATCATCTCGTCGTGGCGGTCACATCAGGCCTTGTCACTGTTCAGGCCGTGATGAACCACTACACTTCCCTTTGCCACGACAGGAACGATGGGATCCGAATATCCTGGCAGATATCGCCGAGCAGCTTCGATCGACGGACATTCCTTCTCATCCCTTCGTGTGTCAATGCGGCGCGCATCAGACTGTTGCATCTCCGGATGGTCACTGCCGAGGGCGATAGTGCAATGTTGTACTCCTTCTTGAGCGCGTTTCACAGCGCGACTATTCTCGCGCTCGATACGAGGACGCGGATGTCCGGCTCGGGCGCCATCTTTCGGCTCCTCGCCGAGAATGCTGCCTCTGCCCATGCGGGTAGCGCTCCTCTACTCTTCCCAGCCTTGAATACGCTCGCTGTAGCATATCCATCGGGAGCGTTTCAGGACACTATTCAACCGCAACTACTGTCCGATCACTGGCGTGCGGCTTTGGGATTCCTGCAAGCGCGTACGTCAACGGGGCGACGCGTGAGGAGCTTGAAGCTCTTCGGAGCTCGGCCGCAGGAGAAATCCCTTCAGGCTATTGAGCAGGGTGCATTGGATTGGGCGGCGAAGTTTGTAGATGAGATCGTTGTAGCGGACGAGCATTGAATATTGAGTATGTATCGTTTGTTGTATCCTGTATACCTTACTGTATCTGTATTACCATCTGGAATCATATCGTCCGGGACTTCGAGCCTGAGTTACCTGTGCCACAGTGGTTCGCCGTAAAGGCGAGTACAGGCGGGGACTCAAAACGGGCACCTCGCCTAGACCTCCTGGATGGGCTCGCGACAAGGGCATCAATGCGACGAAATCATCTGAGTAGGATCATGCGCCGCGCGGATGCAACTGCCGAGAAGGTCCTTCTTCCTGATGCGGGGTGCGTTCCTGATATTTGCTCCCGCCAGGGCTGGCTCGTTGCTTATGATGCTCTTTGCTTTATAGCTCCGCTGCCATAGTATGCGCTCGTGCGGAGCCGGCGACTACGCTGAGAGAGCTCAAACAGACCGAGTCGAACTACAAGAGAGGATCGCCGCCCATCTATTGTATCGCGCCAAGCACCGGCGGCACAACAGCAACGGGTGTTTGCAAGCGCCTGGGCCGCCTGCGCGCGGCCTATATATGTTGCTCCAGTGATGTTCGCTTGTACACTCTTCGCCCCCTTCTTCCCTTTTCTTTCTCTGTTTCTACTAGAGCGTGGAGATGGATGATGACCGGGAGATAAACGAAGCCCACCACGGCGCACACTTGCGACCCGACCCGTTCGCAAAGAAGCGTAGCTTCACGTCCGCCATCCTCGCCACCGCTGTATTCCGTTGTTGGCATATTCTTCTTTTCTTCGGAGCGTGGTCGACGGCCATCTGTCTTATCTCAAACTATCTCGTCGATCTTGGCATCCAGTCGACGCTGCTCACTGTGTGCGTATGCCTTTGAGTCATGATTCGGATGGCAGCGCTGACCGCTCAACAGACTGGGTACCGTTCTAGGTGTGTAACAACAGTATATCTCTATGCCAGTCGCCGACCGATTTCGCTCTAGGTTTCGTCATATCATACCGCACGACGTCCAGCTTTGAGCGCTACAATGAGGGTAGACGGTACTGGAGTCAGATCGTCCTTGCGTCGCGTACCTTCGCTCGCTTGGTGTGGTTCCACGTTCCTGGTGCGTGTCGTGTGCCACATCCACCCCGTCTCGCCACTCTCCGTACGCTTCTACAAGTCATCGTCCTTGTCGTGAATGAACTGCACCAGGCGCTACTGCATTCAGTCTCGAGCATGCCATACCAAGATTCATTAACTGATGCCTAATCTTGACAGCTTCCATGACACTCCCCGGCGTGACAAGTCCCGAGGAAACGGCGGCCCGTGTTCTCCTCGAGAAAAAGACCGTGATCAACTTGACCGAGGCATTTGCAGTCGCTGTGAAGCACTACTTGCGCGGCGAAGAGGGCATCTACTACGTCGACCTCTATCACTTGGTCAAATTCTTGCCTTCATATGCTCTTCCGGCTGGATTGCCCTCGCAGACCGATCTTCATTCGCCATCCTCCCCGAATCGTCCTCATGACCCCAGCGCGCTCCTCAACAGGCGCCCTAGCAAAAGCAGTTTCTCCAGCCGGACCACTAGCATCTCCAACCACGGTGGTCGTGGCCGTAAGGCCAGTGATGCCGGTCGCCCTGGCCCTGGACTTGACACCATTCTTGCTAGTCAGCCGTCGAGCATGCCCCATCTACCTCTGCCGGCGACGACACCGGGCACTCAAACCCGTCCGGATAACATCACTCTCCCGGCCCCCACGGAGAAGGAGCTGTTGCGCGAGATGGAGACCGAGAAGACACCCATGCGTCAGAAGGCCGCCGAGCTCGGACTGACGGTGACCACACCCACAGCCAGTGCGCCACGCAAGAGTCTGGGCGGCAAGTCGTCCCTCGCTAACGACGCGAACATCGAGGAGTACCTACTTCCAAGCCGTATGCCGCCCAAATACAGCTACTTCGACATCTTCCCCTTCTCGCTTCTCGTACGGTTCCTCACGAAGCGTGGTAAGGAAGTCAAGGGCAAGAAGGGTGCAAGACTTCGCGCCAAACTCAGGTCAAAGGCCGTGCAAACCCACAATCTGCCCCTGGAGATCAGTCTGTATCTCAGCAGCTATGTCGCAGCCCTTCAACAGCGCAAGGCCATTGACCCGCCGACTACCAGTGCGTTTCAATCAGTCCCATCTTGTAGAGACCCCATCGCTGACGAGAATTCCAAGCTCTGCTTTTGGCAACCATCCAGCAGCTCGTCGATGCTCTGACAGGTCTCGAGCGTATCCTGACTACGCCGATCCCATTCAGTTACTCCGTCCATCTCTGGACCGTTACGCTCGTATATTGTTTCTTCCTGCCCTTCCAGCTTTGGAAGTTCTTGGGATGGGTCACTATTCCAGGTACCACCATAGCCAGCTTCATATTCTTCGGTTTCATTGTCGCCGGTGAGGAGATCGAGGTATGCGGTTCACGTTATCGGTCATCGAATGGCGATCTGACGCGTGTGTAGAACCCCTTCGGTTACGACAAAAACGACTTGAACATGGACCACTTCACGCATAACATCATTCGTGCAGAGCTTCGCGCCATTACTGCCGCTCCTGCCCCAGACCCGTCCCTATGGGCTTTCTCCCCTCTCAATGATGCCGTCTTCGCCCCCGATGCCGGCTTCACTGGTGGGAGCACCAGCCCGCGCGGTCCTCTCTCCCGGGTCGAGCAGGAACGTGGCACACCCGAAGAGTGGATCTCGCGCGGCAAGAGCGATATGCTGCGCGCTATGGCTATCGGCGCTCTGTGAGCGGCCACTAGAATTCATCCTTGTTCGCTTGCTGTGCATTTGGACGATCTCGGATTACGGACTGCTTACATTGTCCATACATGCTCTGCACATAGTCCTCGCATTCCTCGCATTTATCATCATACATACAGTACCATCGCACTCTGCACTTTCGCATATGCATACTCATTCGTTTTCTTGCACTTTTCCAATGAGGGATGCCTCAACGGCTTGTACGGCCGACAAGTGTTGAATAATACCGGAACGTGAGACGTGAATTGTGAACATACATAAGTCCATTATCTTTATTTACTCCTCGTCGGCGCCTATGAGCCATCCAATCCCCTTCTGGAACGCCTTGCTAGCCTGCGCTTGGACATCCTCGCCCCGCGTCCAACCGTGACGCTCTTGGCTACCGCTTCGACCCCGCGTGGCACTGGAGTCATCCGATGCAAGAGACGCAACACTACTCGGCCGTCCAATGCTACTTCCCAATCGGCTGGAGAATGGGAAATTCGCGGCGACGCGCGAGAAAGTGTGCGCAAGCGCCGCGGCATCGGGGGAGTTGGGTATAGGTAGAGCTTCGCCGAGTCCGCGAATGCGCGCTGCCAACGATGGCACTGTTCCTTGTGCCGTTGCCGCAGTCCTCCTGTTCGCACGTCCAGCTGCGCCCCGTCGCCGGCGCGGCTGGCGTACAACTGGTTCCTCTGCTTCCAGCCTTCTCCACGCCGCCAGCACATCTCCAATCTGGGCCGGTGGGCAGAACTCAAGCGCACGAGCGAGCAATGCGCGCTTCTTCCCGGCGTCTTCAAACATGGGTTGCCTCCCGAGCTGGAAGCATGCGATCCAACACACTTCCCGCGCCGCCGCGATCTCGGACTCGGTCGCACCTTGAGACTCGAGAGCAAGGACAGAGGACACCATGAGCTCGCTCGTATCGTGTGCACGTGTGAAGTCTTCAGACTGCATGGCAGTGTCGGCAATCATGGCAAGCGCCTTGACCTGCGCGGCGGGATCCGAGCTCAAGTTGAGCTTCGCGACAAGATCGAGGATAACTTCGGGGTACTTGTACGCGTCAGATGTGCTGCCAAGCACACGTGCGACAAGAGAGAGGCGGTCCTTCGTGAGCCGAATTTCCAAAGGTGTGATGGGCATGCCGGGACGCGACATGACTTGGAATGAAGAGATGCGTGAAGTAGCCTCGATGAAGTCCTTCTCTTGCTGTGTCCTGTCGGAGAGAGGCGGGACACTCAGACTGCGCAACGATAAGCCAGTAGTACTAACGAGTGAGTGGTAAATATACTAACCAGTCATACGCAAGCTTCATCTCGCCAAAGTGGTAGTTGCCAGAGCTCGCATTGTCGTAAAACTCGCGTGACGCTGCAAGGCATATATCCTCAATAGACTGATCGTCCAATCCAAGAGGATGCTTCTTCGACCCAAGTAGCGTCCGTGCAATATCGAACTCTGCGTCTTATCAGCGACTGGGCGAGGCACAAGAAAAACATAACACGCACTGCCGGTACTGAGAAGACCGCTGAAGTATATCCTGATCACCTCTTCGCGCGCTAGCCTGCCGAAAGCGCTCCTCACACCAGCCTCATTGGCCTCCGTAAGCTTGAGCATGTCCTCCAATAGCCACTCCCATTCCTCTAGACTGTCCAAGTTATCTTCAGATCCTCCATGCCGCCTTGCCATACGCGTTGCGCGCGAGCGCTGCTGGCCTTCATCCTGCATGCTCTGAAGGAACCACCGCAGTGGTGCGGGTACGTTCCAGCGCGCCAGTATCTCGCCCGACTCAAAATGCACGTCCAGGATGTCCAGAATATGCGATAGTGACGACGCGGGTAATGGCTGGAAGAACATGAGCAAATCTGCTGGCGAGACGCGCGGGTGTTGTGTGCTCGGTACAACAAACGCGCCAAGCGATACTAGTGTCGTATCGCCTTCATCGGTGAGGTCCTCTTCCGCACTGAGGTCCCAAGCAGGCAGGCACTCGAATATGCGCGACATTGTGCTCCATTCGTTCAGGCTATCGCTGCCATAGAGGCAAGCTAGCGCCAGTCGTGCCATCTCCTCGTCGTCGCGAAGAAGACGTTGCGATACTGGTAACGTTGGCTTTGACGCATCGAACACGGACGCGAGAACGTTCAAAGGGGCGGAAAGGAGATAGTTGTGTAGTAGCCGGGTAATGAGCTTCGGATCTGGGTGACCAGCTCGCTCCGCGCGAGCCTCGAGCACGAAGAGGTAGGGCATGACGAGCTTGCGAATATCAGAGACAACGGTCTCGGGTCTGGATTGGCTCAAGTACGCCTTGACGACTGCGTCCGGGTCCATCGCTCGCCAACGATCCAACGACAAGTCATCTTTGTCGGAGATTGCATCGGAGACGTAAGCTAGGCGAGCCATGAGACTAAGCTCCTCGCCGAGTTCGTCCAAGCCTTGTACGCCTTGTGATGCACCGTGTTGTACGAAGGCCAAAGCGATGTCAGCCATGCCCGTTGTTTCGAGTATGCGGTCAACACGAGTTGAATACCACGCGAAAAGATCGGCGGATGATAGTGGTTTGGGACATGCAGAAGGCCGAGATGACGGTCCATGCTCTCCTGCGACGGGAATAGCGCCAGACGCCACGAGCGACGAGAGTACATGGGGTAATTCCACGATGTCACGCTCGCTGCGTGCAGGACTGCCTTCGAAAAGCTCCTCGCGCTCATCGTTGATGTCAAAAGCAGGCAGCAGATCTCGGTAGTCGAGTGGTTGTACATGCTCGGGTATACTGTCCAGGATCGTGAAACGGTATGGCCAGAGCTCGTCGGCATAGCGTTTGAGTAGTATTCGTATGATCTCGTAAGAGGCCGACGCGGCAGCAAAACAGGCCAGCGAAAGGAGATCCTCGGAAAGGAATCTCGATAGTGATATGGGTAGCGAGTCCAGCGTGGTTGCCTTGCTCGACGGTCCTGCCTCCGCCGCCTCGTCCCCGTCCTCAGCCCACGGGTCATCCTCCCAGTCCGCGTCAGGATCCGCGCTCATCCCTTCTTCCCGCGTGCCGGATTGTACACGAGACTGGCATGCCTCCACGTATGCGTTCAAGCGGTCGAGGCGCGCGAACAAAGTGGCGCGTATATGGCAGAGTTGTGCATCCGCAGGCTCGTCTTTGAAGTACGACGTCAGGGTTTCTTCCACGACGGCACTGTCGGTCTCCGCGCACAGGTTGCGTATGCGCTCCGCAGCCGATTCACTTCGTTTGATGCCTTCATCCAACAGCGAGCGTTGGGCGTCCGCGTCGTCGAGCAGCCGATCCTGGCAAGCTGCGGCAACCCACAGGTCGTCCTCGATAGGTGCGAGAGTTGCCCGAATATCCTCCACGGAGAGCACATCATCCGCGAGGTCTGTCCAGCGGGCGCACAAGTCGTCAGAGCTAGAACTCGAAGCCATAGTGCAAGCAGAGCCGTAATTGTGGCAGTCGCGGTCAAGGCGTGATGTCGTGGAAACAGGCGCGCGTATGTGGCACTCTCACCGCAGGCCGAGGCGCATGACATTCATCCCGAACGGTCACCTTCCTCGCGCACTAGTAACTCTATATTGGACTGTGTTTTGGCGTATTTTTCGAACACCGCGCTACCTCACTGCATAGGACCGTACCAGCGCAGATCGATAATTAAAATAATGATATATGACGTCCTAAAGATACATTCCGTTGTGTAGATGCAGTCTAGCTGCGTGTATATACAGATGCCAGTTCATTGCTCGTCCCATGGCGCCCAGCGCTATTACCACTCGTCAGTATAAAATACTACGGCAAGTCGTTGACGTAGCTCACCTCTGGTCCCCACCAGTTCGCATAGTCCTGCATCGCGACCTGAGCCGGCGGCTCATGCACCCACCCGATAGTCTCGAGAGAGCTGTCATGATCTGCCGGTAGCGGCCTATCCTTCCGGTGGGTCTCGTAGTCCTGAAGACTATATGCGAGGCTGGCCTTCGGAACAAGAGCAATCTTGCCCAGACCGGCCTTCCACAGGTCGACGCTTGACAAGAAGCACTCGCTAGCCTTCTCGGTAACCTCGCGTAATTGACCCTGCTCGTCGAGGTCGCCGTGCGAGGCGCGGAAGCGCAGATCGGTTGGAGGTGCAAAGACACTCGCGTCGAACGCCGTCGCGCCGTTCCAGCAAGAGAACACCTGCGTCGGAAGCGCGGACTGAATGCGCTCTCTCGTTGGGCCGTCACGCTCGTCGGTGAGGAGTTGAGGAAGATGCGCGAGCTGCTCTTCACGAGTGTATTCGCTAGAGAACCAGTCGACGATCTCGTTGTAGTCGTAGAGCACGCTCCCGCTCATCGGGCGTAAGACCCAGCGATCATAGATCACTTGATCACCCCACACTCCCCAGTCGAGAGCGCAAGCCTGCGTCGCACTCTGTACGCGGCGCTGGTATAGAACTTCAAGGACGTCCGCAGTACAGTGGAAGACGTCATTGATCCAGAGGACATCGTCGAAGGGCCCGCCGTCGGGCAGGAGAGCGGCAGCAGAACCGCTGTAAAGAGGTTCCATCGCGATGTTGCGCACCGCCGCGAGGAAGTTGATACGGTGACCGTCTTCCTTGTCTGACGCGCGAGCTGTACCCTCGGTGATGATGCGATGCGGAGCGCCCATCTCTTTCAGCAGTTCATCGACTGCGCGGTGCAAATCAATGGTCAGATCAAAAGCGAACGTGGAAAGAGGGTAGTTATGCGGATACGCACAGTGTCGCAGTAACCGCGGTGTGCGGTCGGAGCTGCCGTTCTCGTAGATGGAGATAAAAACGCGCTCCGGGCCAAGAAAGTCGAGCAGCTTGGGGATCTCTTGGAAAAAGGTCGGTAGGACTTCCTCGTTGTCGTGGAGGTTCATCGCGAGGAAGACGTTGGAGCTGTTGCGCAGGGAGGCATAGCGTTCGTTATGCCAGGGCTCCAAGTTACACGTTGGTCGTGCTGCTGGCGAGACCCAGTAAGCGACTTGCTGTATCAAGCCGATCCGCGGGTTGACTCGTGACGAGGAGAGCGACGCGGAGGAAGGCGCGAGCGCGGTGAACGCGAGCGCCGCGTATATGGAAGGGAAGAGATCCGCAGAGTAGAGGGCAACGAGTGTGGTGGAGAGTACAAGGAAGAGAAGAACGCCGATGCGGAGGCGAAGGCGGTTGAAAGTGAATGTTGTGGGCGACGCAAGCGTCGGAAGAGAGGGTGACTTCGAGTGAAGAGGCAAGTAAGACGGCGGCGCCATGGCTGAACCGAAATGTTGAACAGGAAAGAAAAAAAGGCGATGCGGGCACCAGCCGCAGCTGCTTTTGTACTTCAGCTCTTTGTCTAAAGCCGCTGCTGCGCTCGAATGGTAAGGTAAAAGGACGGATGGAGTTCGGACCACGGACTCAGAGAGATTCAAAGCGCTTACGCCCTTGCGCAGCCATCGGCGATGCGAGCGTCGGATGGACAGGACGTATCATTATATATGGCTGCGTCGAGGAACCGAGGGTACATCTGGGGTATGATGATGTGAGAGTCCCTACACGTTTCTGTGGAGCGCTGTTGTTCGAAGCTGTTGATCACGTCTGGGGAGTCCTTGTTGTGCAGGACAACGTCGCCGACACGCCCATATCCACAATACAGAACGTTCTCGTCGTTGCTATCGTGCAGCCCCACCGTCTGGACAAAACCTGAATAGACCTCGGTGCCGTGCGCAGCCGCGAGATGGCGCCGTAAATAGCCCAATTGACTGCGCAGAACATTCGGAGGAGCTCGGAAGGTGGCCGAGAAGAGGACATAAGCGCCTGCGGATGTACATACTGAATGCGCCACCCTTAAGTCAGGGGTATCGGCGAGCTGGGGCACGCTGTGTCGTGCGAATGCTCGGGTACATCTCGCATATCAGGAGCTACAGGCTTCGTAGTCAGTATACGAATTGCCTCTTCGACTTATGAATGTGGTACGGTCGTGTTCCGGTGCCGGGGAAACATCAACGGCACGGGGTATGATATCTGATTGAGGTCCAAGTATGTCACAAGACCAGTTGCGCGCATATAAACCGCGGGCGCGCGAGTAGCGTTTTCAAGCAGAGTTGAATGGAGAGGATGCGCGTGGCTGATAGCAGATAGAAAACACAAAGGATGAATATAATGATACACGAATGCGACTAGAAGAGCGTGTCCTGCGGGCACATGAGCAACGAACAGATAGAGGAACTTGTATCGAGAGCGTACCTCGTCACGGAGATACTCTCCCACATCACTGTAATTCACAGTTAGTCCGGTTACAGATGCAGACTCAGAGTACGCACGCCTGGTGAAATACGATGATGGCTGCCGGATCCAATTTTCGTGTGTCCACTGTTGAGCGAGAAGTTACACCAAACCCCTAAGGCGGATGCTCAGTTTCTGTGGTATGATAAAATTCGGCCATAGCACGCACTAATGGCACATCATTCATACTGTACACTACCACACCCTGGTGCTCAGGCGTATCCTCCGTTATCCTCCCCAAGTGATTCTTGAGAACATGGTTCCCGTACAGGAACGACATCTCGCCGTTCGGTTTTATCCAAACCTGAGTCCACATGAGTACCTCTGATGACCAGAATCCAATGGAAGCGTCAGAATTTGATGAGCATACCTTGTATTTTGCGTACTGTGCGAGGTAATCAAGCGCAGTAACGTGCAGCTTGAATTTTCCGCTTTTGCTGAATTTGCCGAAACATGTCCCGACAGATATCAAGTTTGGTCTTGCGACAGAGATTGCGAGGCGCATGGAAGACTCTGAGATGTAGTACACCCTGTCTTTGTGTAGTCGGAAGCAGTATGGCTCGTCGGGTCGGTCAATGAGGTGCACCAAGTTTTTGCCCTGCGCAAGACGATCAGATACGGTTTTTGTCAATGTATGCATGAGAAACGCACTATATAGTTTGCCAGCTTCTCAAACACGGTCTTGCTCTCTTCCTCCGTTAATGGGCGCATTTTGGGGGAGAGTGTGGGGAGATGGAAGTGGGAGGAGGAGAATAAATGCGCGATCACGTTCTGCGCGTCGCGCGTCTTGGGCATGCACGCGTCTTGGACCGCGCACCCATGACCGCGCCGCCGTCGTTCAAGTCATTCGCCGCTCCCTCTTTCTCGTCTTTCCCAGACCTCGACGCGCCCAAGGCTGGCCCCAGCTCACATAAGCTTGATGACGATGTACGCATGAAGGAGAGGAAGTCCAAGAAGGAGGACAAGGAGAGGCGGTCACGGCGAGAGGACAGAGAGAAATCGGGGAGGAGAAGGTCTAGGGAGCGCGACGGGGACAGGGATAAGCCTAGACGGAGATCCAGAGAGCGCGATGGCGAGCGCAAGGACCGCCATCATCGTTCCCACCGCGATGGACGCGTCCGCGACCGGAGCCGTGACCGCGACGACCACAAGCGACACAAGGACGAGCACCCGTTTGCTTCGGACGAGCGAGCAAAGGCCGCTCAAGACGCTCAATCACGGTCGTCTTATATTACCTCAGATCTACTGGAGAAGCCTATATTTTACTCGGATAAGCGCGGCGACCCCGCCAACGTACACTACGGACGGCCAGACTCCAAGTACGTTCCAGACTACAGGCATGTCGCCGGTGAGTTGTATACATAATTGTGGTTATTCGTCCCTGATGATTGAGCCTGCTTCAGGCGGGCGCCATGTGCTCGGACTCGCCAACGGCTTGACGGTGTTGTACCGAGGCAGTAAGGGCGTTGAGGTTGGAGAACGGAGTTGGGGTGGCAGAAAGATCGCCGGACTTACGGACGCGAACTCTCGCGCAATGCTCAAGGCGCCGCCGACACATCGGCTTATCCCGTCCGAGCGCTCACTAAGGAAGTACGAGCCAGATGCGAATGGTGTCATTCGTCTCTCCGCGAGGCGCGGCAAGAGTGCTCAGGAAGAGCCGGATTGGCGCGCAATCGAACCGGCCAAGGACTCGGATGTGTCTTCAGATGAGGAGCATGGGGCGTCAGAAGAGTCGGATGAAGACGAGGACGCGACGCCCGTGACGGCGTATCAAGAACGCCTGCTTGCATTACAACGAGCGACGGATGAATCGCCCGCACTGGTCGAAGGATGGACATCTTTACTCGGGCATATGCTCTCGCAAGTTCCTCTATCGTCTCGCGGAGCCGTCAAGGCGCGGGCAGAGATCACCATCTCCGTACTCGAGCGCGCATTGCGGACTGTACCATCGAGCAAAGCCACTCCTTTGCGATTACTCTATCTGCAGGCAGGCGAGGAAGTGTGGGAGTTGAAAGATTTGCAGGAAAAGTGGGCGAAAGCAATGGAAGGCGAAGATGCAAATGCGGACATCCGTGCCGCATGGTTTGAATGGAGGATAAGGAGGGCGGAAGGAGGGCTCGACGCCGTGCTGAAAGACGCTATGAAGGCGTTTGATGCCACTGGACAGGATGAGATGGAGAAGTTGAGGTTGTTCTGGCGTGTAGCCGTTCTATTACGACAAGCTGGTATGCACACTCACGTCGGTCGGTATAGCTTCTCTTTCTGACTATTCAAATAGGCTTCACCGAACGGGCGTCTGCGATGTTCCAAGCACAAGCAGAACTCACATATCACTGCCCACCCTCCTTTGCAGGGGCATTTCTGACTTCACGGCTCGACAAGCTCGAGGAGTTCTGGGAGTCTGAGGTCCCGCGTGTTGGCGAGTTAAGCGCGCAGGGCTGGGCAGCTTGGCTTACCGCCGGGAAACCGAAGTACAATACAGCTAATGCCGCGACATCCACTGTTTCTTTGCCATCTTCGGAAGATGCATATCATCAATGGGCGCATCGCGAATCCGTTTCAGACCGTGTGGTCAAACCGGCCCTGCGTTCGATGGACCCAGAGGCGGAAGAAGACCCATACTCGACAATCCTCTTCGGCGATATACGACCGTTTCTCTTTACGATGTCTTCGCAACGCGCCCGCAGTGCCTTCCGCCTGGCCTGGCTCTCGCTCCTCGGTCTCCATGTGCCTGGCTTCGAGACCTCGCTCGACCCTCAATCAGCGCGCGCCGCGACGGACGACAACTGGGCCATGCAGTACCTATGCGCTCCTGCGCGTCTAGACGCGCTCTTCCCTTCATCTGTATCGCAACGTGCTGGCGAAGCAGACGCGCAGGCTGGTGTACTCATCGGTCCAGAAGAGCACTATGCTCCAAGCTTTGGGCCCGTGAAGCACTGGGCGTACCGTACTTTGGGCCCGCTCGAAGGGATGGACTTCCAGCCCATGTCTAGTGTGAAATGGACTCTTTGGGACACTCGCGACGTGGCGGACGTAGACGTCGCACTCGCCAGGAACGTCTTTACTGCGTGCCGTGCGGGCACCGATGACGTCGAATGGGATGCGCTCGCGCTCTCGTTCGAGGCGGCCGTCAACATCAAAGGAGCGTTGAAACTGTCGCGCTCGTTCCTTGCGTCCGCACAGGAATCGATGCCTCGCTGGGCTACACACGCGCGTCTAGAGCGTCTACGGGGTCGTGCGGCGGATGCTCGGAAAGTGTACGAGACGGTGCTGCTATCTCCGACTGCCGAGCAGAATAGACTGAGTGCCGGGGCGCTGTGGTGGGACTGGGCGGAGATGGAATGGTTGGCTGGCGATGATGCTGCTGTCCGACACGTTGTACTACGTGCAGCTGGTGTAGAGGGTGATGGCGGGGTGCAAGTTCTAAGAGCTAAACGAGCTCTAGCCGAGACGGCTGCAAGCGTGCCTACGCCACTGTGGAAAGCACGCGAGGCATGGACACGGCTCGGCGCGCTGCTCGAGCTCCTTGCGGGCTCCGATTTATCACCCGTGATTGATATTCCTACTGGTGGGAATGCGGCGGCGGCGGAAAGTGCTGCTGTTGCTGGCCTCTCACTGCGATATCATCATGTCGTCTCGCGCCGTGGGCGAGCAGGCGATCTGCGCGAGCGGCTGGAAGAAGCCGTCCCTGCGTTTCCGGGTAATACAGCGTTGTTGGGTATGCATCTGGAGATGCAGAAGGGTCGTGGCGTATGGAGTCGGGCACGAGATGTCGTCCAGGGTGGTGGTGTTGCGCGGCGCGTTGCGGAAGTGTGGGCCGCAGGATGGGTTCCTGCGAGATGGGCGTGGGAGGTTGAGAGAGCGAGAGCAGGCCTTGCGGAGGCGGTCATTGATGAAAGGACGAGGGGCAGCGCAGTACTTTGGAGAGTGTGGCTTGCACTTGAGGTGCGCGCCGGGGATCTGAAGAGGGCGAAGGAGGTTCTGGTTCAGGCGATCGCTGCTTGCCCACTCGTGAAGGGTATGTTTTCTCCTTGCTGCATAATAAATAACAATGAGTTGACCTACATCACAGAGTTATATCTACCCGCCTTCGGAGCCCTGCGCAGCGTATTCACTGCCGTTGAACTGAATCGTTTGGTTGAAACGATGGCAGAGCGGGGGATCCGGATGAGGAGGATCCTCGATGAGGCTCTACAGATCGAAGAGGATGGCGATGTGGACATGAGCGCGGAGGAGGATGAGATCGAGGCAGAGTCGAGGGAATACAGCAGATTAAAGCCCTACGGAGGGCCATACCAATAACTTATGCTGATGTACGGATGTTGGATTGATTACTTGTACGCAAATTCTAGCCCGGTCTATCGGCGTTGACGACCGGAGGAAATAATCTGCGAGACGCGTGCCACCTCAGTCGCGTGTTGTTCGAAGCGCGAGTGTCTCACCACTTTCTGCTTGCCTCTCACCGGCACCCCTCCTCCCACCGTGTCGCCCCTCCATCCGCCATGACGCCAAATCACCACTCCTGGCACGGAGTGATACTCGCTTTTGTGACGCTGCCGCCCGTATTGTTCGCACTATATTTCTTTAGCCAGTTCCCGCGCGTCCCGGACGCGATCGAGATACATCCGTCGCTCGCTAGTCTGTCCGCGAGCCACAGGGTCGTACAGATATATCCGGAGGACATTTACGAGGGCGGCGCGTACTTCGATACGCCGCATGGACGGGTATGTTGACGCTCGCTCTGCTGCTGCTTTGTGGGCGTCTGCTCATATATGTGCTAGACACGTTATTGGCTCGTCGGGCCTCAGAAAGGAAAGAAGGCGCGTATCATCATTGCATTCGGTTTGCAGAATGCTCATGGTGCCACAGGTCGTACTCATCCACGGCCTCTCGATCCCCTCCATCGTTTGGAAGGACGTCGTCGCTGTGCTCACAGGGAAGGGGTACCGTGTCTTAGTTTACGGTGCGCACCCCAACCCCACATAGTTTGGGCGCCTAACCTCATGTTGCCTTCTGACCAGATCTGTACGGGCGAGGATACTCTGACGCACCGGCTACGACCTATGACGCCGCGCTCTACGCCACACAACTCGCGCTCCTGATGCAACATGTCAAGTGGGACAAGGCCTATGTGGCGGGGCTATCTATGGTACGACTTCTTGGGCGCTAAACCAAGGGAAGCATGCTGAGTGGATGTTGTAGGGCGGTGGTATAGCTACTGCATTTAGCACATGGTTCCCTCACCTTGTGGATGGCAAGGTCGCGCTCATCGCGTCTGCCGGCTTAATTCAGGTTAGTGTACCCGTGCTACTTCGCCTGAGGAGATATCGCTGATCACTTCCATATAGCCTAGCGAAATGTCGCGCACAACGCGATTCATGTCCTCACCGCTTGTGCAAGCAGCCGCAGACAGCTTTCCCGGCCGTGTAAGTCTCCGATACGACTGGGTGCCTGACCCGACCTCATGCCCTTCAGATGTACATGCAGCGCATGGCCGACTCTTCACACTCGAATCCCATTATGGAGGTACGTTCTGACCCTCAGATGTCACACCAAGTCATCTCACGTCATGTGTCCAGCTTCTGCGCATTCAGTCTGCGTACTTGAAGGGCTATAACTCCGCGATTGCCTCGTCCCTGCGGGACGGTCCTATCCGCGGTCTGGAGTGGGCGTTCCAGTCCCTTGCGTCTTCCGATAATGACGTACTGCTCATTTGGGTAGGTCGCTTGCGTACTTTCTTGTTAACCTTGCTCACGCTCTGTCAGGGTACGGACGACGACACCGTGCCCTACCGACATGCAGGAGTTATGAACAAGATGATACCCCGATCCAAGCTGGTCACCATTGACGGCGCAGGTCACGACCTGACCATCGCCCACCCCGAGGTCGTGGGCGGGGCGCTCGCCGACTTTTTCAAGGCAAAGTAACGCTCTGTTGTTGTTGTCCGCTGTCTTCGTTTTACTGTACATTTTGCTATCCCTGGGATTGTGTGTTGTCCGCCTTTGTTCTCTTGCTGTAGTTGTCCCGCCCCTGGTTCTGTACACACGCTGCTACCCACTCTCGAACGCATCACTAGCATACATAGACAGGCCACGTACCCGTAATTATACTCTAACCGCCGTTCGCTTTACGCACGATCGATCAATTGACGCTTTTGTTTACGTTCAACAAGGGGTGTTTGCGCGTGTTTGTGTGCGGGAAGATGCCGGGGAGCGTGGGAACGGTGGTGAGCGTGGGCGCGGCGTGGTGGGGTCTGTGCAGGTCACCGACTGACCGCCAACACGGACCGACAAAGTGATTGTTCTCTGCAACGGCCATTGTTCGCCTGTAACAACAACGGCTTTTGACAGAGCTCGCATTCCCTCTTTACACCGACTGGTCCACAATATTCGACCCCGCTCCTCCGGGAGCTCCCGCCTCCACCCACGCCTAGCTCTACCCCTACATCTCTACTAGTTTCTCAATGGTTAACACCACCGTTCCCGCACCCTCCGCGGCCGCCCAGGAGGAATGGCCAGATGCGGATTTCGACCTGGCCGACGATGAGCCGCTGAGCGCGCGGGTCGCTTCCCACGTGCAGGCAGATGACGAAGAGGATGAGGACTGGGATCTGGACATGGACCTCGGCAAGACCGGCGGCGCAAAGGCGCAGGCTGTGGTTGCGGGCATTGCCGCACGATCGAGCTCGGGTGCGCTGCGTGGGATGGTCACCATCAGGCCGCCCATCGCCGCGACGTCCATGTCCGTCTCGGAAGATGACGAGGACGAGGAGGGGCTCTCGACGATCAAAATGGCCACCCTCAGGCCGTCCGCACCGCCGTCGCAGCAAGTGCAGCCACTGCCGAGCCTGGCCGTGCCCGAGGAGGACTTTGAGGCGGATTTTGATTTATCAGGCGATTTGACTCAGCTGTCGTTGAGACCACTGTCCCACCAGGGCAGCAAGAGTTCGCTCGAGTGGGGGGACAAGGACCAGACGTCGTCTTCTCAGTCCAGCGACGCCTACTCGACTCTCGGCTTTGACCGCCACTCGATTTCTTCAAATTCGACACAGCCCGAGTCAGGAACGGAGGATGACGACGAAGAGGACCTCGACGGCCTTGTCATTCCCTCGTCCATTTTCGACTCTGGCAAGGCGGCGAAACATCTCGCGCGCGTGCTCGAGCAGAAGAAGGTCCTCGCAGAGTCGCCTGCCGCGCCCACCAAAATTGCGAGCCCGAACCCTGAGGATGATTTCGAGAGCGGGCTCGTGATTGACGACGATGCGGACTTTAGCCCTTCACGCCTACGGCAGGCGCAACTGCAGGCCCGCCGTTCGCCGCTTGCGCCTCGCGCAAATTCTCTGCCAACCAGGTCAGGTGCAAGCTCTCGCCCGCCTTCACGGCTCCGGGCTGGCGCCAAGTCCCCGATCTACCCTGGAAACCCGCCACTGTCCTCCCAACGGGCGCTCGAACGGGCAAACAGGATGTCGCCCTCACCGCCACCACGTGTTACGCCCGTGCGCTCCCAATCTGCATTGCTCGCGCCTTCTGCCGCCACAAACAAGCCCGGCAGCCTCCGGGGCCAAAAGTCCCACACTGGCTTGAACCCCTCTCCGACCTCGGCGACGGCACCGCGCAGACTTACTCGCAAGGCTTCATTGTCTTCGCTCATGGATACCGGCCTACAGCCTCCCACCAGCGCCACGGCCGGCCCTTCTTCCGGATCTCAGCCACGCTATGACGCACCCACAGCCGCGTCTCGTGCTAGGGTCCACGGCACTACCGGCCGTATCCGTACCAGCCTCGAGCAGGCCGTGCCCCCCACGCGGCCGAGCACACCTTCATCTTCGGGCGCGCTACGCCTCACGATGCCCACGAATTCATCGAGGCTCAAGACGCGTCCGCCAATCACCTCCGTTTTCCCTTCACCCATCTACCCCAACGGGCGCACCTCTCCTCTACCCAATCGCCCGCCCTCTTCGCTCCCCTTGCGCGCTCAACGCGCTTCGTCTCAGCAGCCGATTGCAGGCCCAAGCACCGGTCCCAAAGTTCTGCGCAAACCGAAGCGTGCAAAGGCGTACGGCGACGGCACAGAGCTCGACGGATTCGACGATCTGCCAACCGATAGCCATAAGGAGAGCCAATATCGCGTCACGCCGAAGGGGTACGGCAACCGCGTGCCCGGCGCAAGCTACTCTCCTCGCAAGAGTGCCGAGGGAAGTAACGCGAAGAATACTGGCACTATGCGCCGCGGCAAATCCAGACGCGATCTCGGTACAGACTCGGGTATGTTCGCTTTTCTTTCCCGATATGGACTGGCGGGCCCTGCGGCTCTCCATTCTCCCTGTCTCCATCTTGTGGCGGTTTGGGCGCTAACTTATTCCCCTTTCAGGCACTGAATCGCTACGGGCGTCCGCGGCACCAGTCCGCACGCTGAAGCGGACAGCGTCGAGTCGTATCGACATGAACAAAGCGGCAAGTCCGCCCGAACCGCCACGGCGGAAGAAGGTGCCTTCATCTCCGCAACAACGTCGAAAACCGACGCTCATACGAAATCTGGGCGGCACGAGCGCTCCCAAAGGTGCGTTCCCATGCCGCCGTGCGTGCCACCGAACATTTCTGACGCACATGTGTCGTCGATCAGTTGTCGGCGAGATGCAGTGGAATCCTGCAACGCTCAGATGGGAGGGCAACGATAACGCCCTGCGTGATTTCGATGCTGCGCTTGCGCCCACTCGTCCGGCGCTCATCACGCATCTGACGGGTAGCAGTGTTGGCTCGCCTGTGGGATCCTTCGCCAATGGCGCACGGCGTGTGGGCAACATGGTGTTCGACCCCTCGCGAATGTGCTGGATATCGACACTCGCACCTGAAGACGACGAACCGGACGTATTCGCTGATCTCGCTGACGATGAGGGCGACTGGGAAGCACGGGGCGCGACTATCCGTGCATCTCAGCAGACCCAGTCATCCGACTTGGCAAGTCAGCCTCCGAGTCCGGCCAGGAGCGTCAAGAGCCGCGTGAGGAGTCCAAGCGTCGAGTCGGTCTCAGACCGTGGTAGTCGAGCCAGCATGGTCTGCGATGTCGACGAGACGTTCTTCGACGCATGTCGGCTAGCCGAAGAGCGGCATAGCAAGGAGATGCGCGGATGGCGCGGGAAGCTTGAGGATGGGTTCGATGCGGACCGCTCGTTCTTGTATGAAATCCGAGCGCTCGCGACGAGGAAGTACTAGACGACCTCGCGCGAGCCAATGCCTTAAAGTCACCCACCGCGCCACCGCCCACTCATCATTGCCGCCTGCTGCCGACACATCACCCGCCATCCGCCCACATCGCTTCATCTCTTGTGAATATCTTGTGTTTTTACCTGGTGTCTCGATATGTGTGACCCACCACTGTTTCCTCTCATCGTGTCTCGCGTCTCTCATGTTCATGCCCCCTCACGACCCTCCCTATCGTCTCGTCTCCGTTACCGTAAAGCTTTTGAATTCCCTTGGTTCCCGCCGCGTGCCATATCCTTATTCATTGTTGTCGTCTCGTCCGCTCCCAGAAGCCCAGAACACTCCTTCGTATCCCCCACCCCTGATCCCGCACATTATACCTCGCCTAGTATCGCCCGTCCCTCACCCCGCCCCTATGCCCCCATCGTTATCGCTTCGCTGTGCCATACCTCGTCCTGTTTTCATCTGGTTCTTCTACTTCACCGTTCATTTTTGCCCTTCTTTTTCTTTCCCGTTTTCTCCCGTGGCCGGTTTACACGCCTGCAGCCAACTGCACAAAGACGCTCCTTAGAATTCCCAGACTCACTCTCACCGTTTCGTCGCCTCGCTCTCGGACTCAGTTGTTCGGTGGCTGCTTATTGGTATTTGTTATGATGTACGCGCGCAGATGGAGACAATCGAATATGAAGTTGGAAACACTCAATTCCTCGGTGTGATTTACGGTGGCGGAGAGGGAATAGGCACAACCTCAACTGTACTGATCGTTTCCTTGATCTTATCTACGCGCTTTTGCCTCATACTTCCATGAGCGCGTCCTCGTCTGCGCCCGTGTCCGTGTCTGGCAGCAACAAGGCAGGGAAGATACGTGCTGTGCTACACGGAGACCATGTCGCGTTCCCGGAGATGATGTACACGTATCCGCTCAAGTTACTTGCACCGCGCCTGCCCGGTGCGCGCGGAGCAGCGATCGTCTATATGGTCTCTTACGGCGGCGGCCTTGTGGGAGGAGATCGCGTGCGGTTGGACATTGATGTGGGCAGGGGCGTCAAGCTATTGCTACTCTCACAGGCAAGCCTTCTGTGTTTGTCTCCCGAGTCTATGAAGCTCACTGCGAACCGGGTAGGGCTCGACGAAGGTGTTCAAAACGCGTCCCGGGACTCGCGCCGCAGCGTTTCTAGCCAAAGCTTCAGATCCCAACGCGACGGAGACAAGGCAGCGTCTGATAGCGCGCGTCGCACCAGGTGCACTACTGCTGTTGCTACCAGATCCTGTGACATGCTTCGCGAGTGCGGCCTATGCTCAACTTCAGACTCTACAACTGGAACGCGGGGCCAGCGCTGTACTCTGCGATTGGTATACCTCGGGCCGTGCTGCGCCTCCTCGGGAAGAGCGATGGGCTTTCGCGCGGTATGCAAGCGTAAACGAGGTGTGGGTTGATGGGGCCAGGGTTGTGAGGGACGCGACGCTACTTGAGCAGCGTGCAGAGGGCGGGGAGAGTGCGCTCGAGAAGAGGATGGGCCCGTACGGGTGCTTTGCGAGTGTGCTTCTTGCTGGGCCACTCGTGAAAGACGTGTGTACGGAGCTTGTGGCGCGCTTCGGTCAGGAGAGCGTGTTCCGTGTGCGCGCCCCGCCACACCTACTCTGGTCTATCAGCCCTGTCAGCGTACAGGCCAGTACTCCAGATCCCGAGGCCGTAGTGCACGTGCTTCGCGTCGCGGCCGTGGAGACGGAGGATGTACGGACGTGGCTGAGAGGCGCGCTGAGCCCTCTGGCCAATGTTGTCGGAGAGGAAATATATTCAAAAGCATTCGTCTGACACTGCGTGAGCTCGTCTACGGTCTGAGGATGCTCTGAGGCTGCTTGCTCGTTATCAAACGCGGACCGATAAAGATAGGGGCACTTCGGCCGAAACGGGCGCATCTTATCGCATTCCGTCATCTCAAGACAAGAGCCTCCGTTAACGTTGGCAGTCCAGACGGAGGGAGAGATAGAACTTCGACTCGTACGACCATCATGGCCTTCTCAGAGACAGAGCAGACGACGATCAGCCCGCACAACCAGCAGGCGTATGTGACGCGGCAGTACCCGTCCTCCGCCGAGCTTGATGCTCAGCTCGACAAGGCCGCGGCGGCTCAGAAGGCCTGGGCGCGTGTGCCGCTCAAGGAGCGTATCGCTATCGGGCACAAATTCATCGACGAGTTCAAGGCTATGAGCGATGATATTTGTACAGAGCTGACGGCTCAGATGGGCCGGTACGTGCATTATAGACGTAGCCATAGCATACACTCATCGTGTTCATCCACAGTCCGATCGCGCAAACGGCGGGCGAGATCCGCGGTCTGGCGGAGCGCGCGACGTACATGCTCTCGATCGCGGAGAAGTCTCTTGCAGATGTGACGCTAGAAGACACGGATAAGCCTGGTTTCAGGAGATACATCAAGAAAGAGCCTCTGGGTGTAGTGCTTGTTGTCGCCCCATGGAAGTGCGTTCTTCATGTTTTATACTCTATATCGGATTCTACGTGCTGATCAACGCAAAGCTTCCCCTACCTCGTCTCGGTCAACTCAGTCCTCCCAGCTCTGATCGCCGGCAACGCAGTGATCTTCAAGCCCTCGCCACAAACGCCTTTGACCGCTGAACGCTTTGCTCTGGCTCTCACCCGCGCGGGCGTACCCTCAGATGCGGTGCAGGTCATTCACCTGTCTCCCAAACTCACAGCGCACGCCATTCAGAACCCGAAGGTCAACTTCGTTTCGTTCACTGGCAGCGTTGCCGGCGGGCAGGCCGTTGAAAAGGCGGCGGTCGAGGCGCCGGGCTTCACTGGCGTTGCGTTGGAGCTTGGTGGGAAGGACCCTGCGTATGTGCGCCCCGATGCTGATCTGGCGTACACGGCTGGTGAGCTTGTCGACGGTGCGATGTTCAACTCGGGTCAGAGTTGCTGTGCAGTCGAAGTGCGTTGCATCCATGCCGGTCCACCTGAACCATGACGCTAACCGGAAAATCTTAGCGCATCTACGTACACGAAGCCGTATATGACGAGTTTGTCTCCAAGTTCGTCGATGTCGTCAAGGGTTACAAGCTCGGTGACCCGACAAGCAAGGAAACGAACCTTGGTCCTGTCGTTAGCCTAGCGAGCGCTGAGCGCATCCGCAAGCAGGTTGCGGACGCGATCGCTGCTGGTGCGAAGGCGCTCATTCCGGAGGAGCCGTTTGCGAATGCAGCCGGGACGGGAAAACTGGCTGGGACGGCATTCGTCGCCCCGCAGGTACTCGTGAACGTCAACCACAGTACGCCCATCGTTCATTCTATTGCTGTTTTGGGACTGATCACCCTTGCAGCGATGGAGGTGATGACCGAAGAGACGTTCGGACCCGTCGTCGGCGTCCAAAAGGTTTCGTCTGATGACGAAGCTCTCGCATTGATGAACGACTCTCAGTACGGGCTCACTGCATCAGTGTGGACAAATGCCGACGCCAATCCGGACTCGGAGACAGCGTTCTTGAAGCTTGCTGACGAGATTCAAGCCGGAACTGTCTTCCTCAACCGATGCGACTACCTCGATCCTGCGCTTGCGTGGACAGGTGTCAAGAATTCCGGCCGCGGCGTCAGCCTGAGCTCCTTCGGCTACGACCAGCTCACGCAGCTCAAGAGCGTACATATGAAGATCAAGACAAGTTGAAGGAGTGGTTGAGCATTGTATATTGTTATGACACGTTTATACATATATGTATACAAACAAGAGGATATAGACGATATGGAACGTGCTGATGATTGAGAAGATGGAGATACAATATCTGGAGAAAGGGTCAGCATGCTGAAAATGGGAGGTGCGGGTAGAAGCAGTATGGATCAGGACCCTCTAGCGTATTTGAGGGTCGGCAAAAATGTCACCACCGCGCTGAAGCGCTCGGTCTGGTGCACAGCAATAATACTCATCACAGCAGATGATGAATACAGAAACATGGACTCACAATTTGTGCGCTGTATGGAGAGGTCGTCGTGGTCAGAACGAGAAGAACGCGCAGACGCGTCGAATTTTTTGAGCTTGCGCGCGGCTGCAGCGGCCCGAAGCGCCTGGTTCACCTGCTTCTCTCCCGCCACCTCCATCATCGGCCGTAATGTCACTTTCCTTCGTGCGCTTCTACGTGACGGCATGCGCCTTATCATGCGTGTTGAAATGTGGCTCCTAGGATGGGCTACCGTAAGCGTATAAGATAGCAGAGCTGTCGATGGCAGCGCGCCTGAGCTTTACCGCTCTTCTTCCTCGCTCTCGACTTATTGCGTGTTCGCATAATGTCCGAGGAATCCGGTCTCAAAGACGGGACACATGGAGGGAGTGCGGATAAGAAACACACAGAGAGTGTAGACGCGGAGGAGGTGATACCTGAAGGCGCACACGACGTCTACCGCCCAGAGGTGGACACGAGCAGCGTCGACGAGCGCAAGTTGATGCGCAAGATCGACTTGAGGCTCATTCCATTTCTGGCACTTCTATACCTCATGAACTCATTGGACCGGGGCGCTATCGGGAATGCGAGAGTGTGTCTATTGGCTTTCACTAGCCTCTGCCGGTAGCTGACACCTTGTCTAGCTGTACGGGATGGAGGCGGACATTGGGCTTAGCGATAAACAGTACTTGCTGGCGTTGACGGCGTTCTTCTTCCCATATTCGCTGTTGGAGGTCGGTACCCTTGCAATCCATGCAAACTTTGGTTGACGCCCACGGTTAGCCGCCTAGCAATCTTGCTCTCCGCAAGTTGCGCCCGTCGCGCTGGTTTGCGCTGATTGTTTTCGTATGGGGTGTGGCTATGGTACGGAAGTATGATAAGTCTACGCCAAGATCTTGACTGAAGATCTTCCCCAGATGTGTCACGGATTTGCAAGTAGTTATGCGGACCTAGTCGGACTACGAGTTTTGTTAGGCATCGCGGAGGCTGGTAAGGAGCCGTCCTAAAGTGTGATATTGAAGGCCTGACTCCAGACTCTTCCAATAGGACTGTACCCGGGCATTGTCTTCTATCTATCCTGGTGAGAGGTTCTGCTGCTAGATCGTCCGCAGTGTAACCTGAACATGTCCGGCAGCTGGTACAAACGCGATCAACTCGGCACGCGCGTCGCCGCCTTCTTTACGTCCTCAACCATCGCCGGAGCTTTCAGTGCGTTCCATTTCCTCGTGTATACTCTAAACTTGTTGCCGATACTGTGCCTCTCAGGTGGTCTGCTTGCCGCAGCGATTCATAATATGGACGGGGTCGCTGGTATCCATGGATGGGCATGGATATTTATCTTGGAGGGCCTCGCGACAATCATCTTCGCTCTCACTTCGTTCTTGATCCTTCAGGACTTTCCGCAGACGGCAACAATGCTCACTGAAGAAGAGCGCGTGTACATCATTCGCGGGTTGCAGGCTGATCACCAGTTCAGCGCGGGCAGTGGCGAGGGCTTCAAGATGAGCATCGTATGGCAGACTTTGAAGGACCCAAAGACCTACATCGCGAGTAAGTGCAACGTCCTGTTGGAGGAGAAAGTGGCTGATTGTGCATGCTTCTTTCAGTGTGGATCTATGCTGGCTTGTGAGTGGATGTTGAGCTAGGGATGATTTCCGACATTTCATACGGCGCATAGTGATGGCCCACTGTTCGCATTCTCGCTTTTCACACCCACAATTGTCAACCAGGCACGTGTAGATCATGCCAGCCATATACTATGGCGAAGCTCATCATGACTGTGCTTTTAGCTTGGCTTCGGCGCGACAGCAGCGAACTTGTTGAGCGTGCCGGTCTACGTCTGGGGCTGTATTTTGACTTGCATCATCGGCTATCTTGGTGACCGACTCGGCCAGCGAGGATATATCAATCTGTAAGAGTCCTTCTATGACGAGTCTATACAGTATATTGAATGACCTTATCTATCCAGGACATTGTTCGGGACAGGCTTCGCGGGCTACATTATTCTCGCCGCTTCACGCACACCTGGCTTATCATACTTCGCGACATATTTGGCAGCTTCGTACGCCGTCTTCTCTCTAAGTCTCGCTGTAAACTGACTCCTGCGCAGTGGAATCTATCCGACCATTCGTGAGTAGTCTCACACTGCTCAGTAGGGATTCGACTGACTATATCTGTCTCTATAGCGAATTCAGTGTGAGTACCTGTCCATAAGCTATGACGGGTGCGAAACCCACTCATATGTCATAAACGCAGTGCATGGGTTTCAAGCAACACCGAAGGTTCATACAAACGCGGCCTCGTCCTTGGCCTCGCCATTGGCTTGTGAGCGTAATCTATTTCTACCGCCCGGATTCAATACTGACCCTGTCTTCTGACAGCGGGAACCTGAATGGCGCCGTAACGTCGAATGTGTATCGCGCGCGAGATAAGCCGTGGTACACGCTTGGTCACGGGATCGTGCTCGCCTACGTCGGTATCGGCTTTCTATCGTCGCTCGCGTACATATTTGTGCTTCGACGCGAGAATGCGGCGCGGGCAAGAGGCGAACGTGACGAGATTATCCACGGTGTGGATAGCAAACACGCGTGTGAAGAGAACGGCATGTTTGACAGCGTCGAACACGCGCGACGGGAGAAGGGCGATGCGTGGAGTGGCTTCAGGTATACTCTATGAATATACGACGACACAGCTTTGCATCTCGCCTTGCGATGACTGATCTTAGACGAAGCGATGGTGACCCACCTTTCAGAGGATTGAACATGAAGGGTGGGCATAATTTGAGTATGTGCACCAGCAACCTCGTTGAGAGTTATGCTGGGAACGTTTCGCGCGTCTATTCGCCTGTTGCTCTCACAGGACGTCCGCGTGTCCTCCCCTCAACGTTTCTGTGCGACAAGTGCGCCCCAATATAGCCAACTGCGGCCGCCCCCGACTTCACTGCGCCATATAACCTTGGTACCAAGTCAGACTCATGTCGGGGTTCTCATCGCCAGCCTGGTTGTGATACAACCATGTCCGACCTCGGTACAAAGTTCGAACCCAGCATCCGTCTTCGAGAGATACTCAAAGATGATACTCAAAATGTATATCGACCAGAGGTGGACACGAGTAGCGTCAATGAGCGCAAGCTGATTCGCAAAGTCGACTTGGCTCTAATCCCACTGCTTGCGGCTTTCTACATGATGAACACGCTGGACAGGGGAGCTATCGGCAATGCGCGGGTACGGTTTACTGTCGTCTATCTTCTCTGATCGCTGACCACCATGTCGTAGCTCTATGGCATGGAGGCAGCCATTGGACTCAGTGACAAGCAATATCTCCTGGCACTCACTGTGTACATCTTCCCCTACTCTTTCCTGGAGGTGAGCACCCCTGCTCGCCATGTGTCGATCTTTTTGACTATTGTACGGTGTACGGGCAGCCGCCTTGCAATCTCGCGTTCCGCAGGCTGCCACACCCATCTTATTGGTTCGCCGTCACGTTGTCGATCTGTGGTATAGCAATGGTGAGACTCATCAATCGATACGAGAAATACATTGAGATGCGACGCCCGGTCAGATGTGCCACGGCTTTGCGAAGAACTTCGGCGACCTCGTTGGCCTGCGCATCCTGCTTGGGGCCGCAGAAGCAGGTTTGTGAGCACTTCGACACGCTAGCCCGTCTCTAACGACATGGAACTAGGCGTATTTCCCGCCATCATCTTCTATCTTTCTTGGTAGGTTTCCATATATCTTGAACCTGCACACGAACAGGGACACTCATAACTGTTTCGAAGCTGGTACAGACATTCTCAGATTGGCCTACGTTTGGCCGTATTCTTCGCGTCCAATTCGTTAGCCGGTGCCTTTAGTAAGCCGTGATATCGGTGCCCAAGATATAATCCCCCTAAAGGCTGTTAAACAGGCGGGCTTCTTGCAGCGGCCATACATAATATGGATGGCGTAGCCGGGATCGCCGGCTACGCCTGGATATTCATCATCGAAGGCATCGTTACCATTGTGCTTGCAATCATGTCCCTGTTCTTGCTGCAAGATTTCCCACAGTCAGCAAAGATGCTGTCAGAGGAAGAGCGCGTGTATATCATTCGTGGACTCTTGGCAGATCACCAATTCAGTGCGAGCGGATCGGAGCCGTTCCGAATGAGCGTTGTGAAGCAGACGTTACAAGATCCAAAGACGTATATCACTGGTAAGTGCGCCATCGTCTTCCTCATACGACACTTATTGAGGCTGGTTCCTGTGTAGTCATCATCTGTGCTGGCTTGTGAGCCCTCCGCTTCCGTTGCTGTCAGCGGTGGTTGATGTACACAGTGTTGGACCACTGATCTCCTTTCAACTCTTCTCACCAACAATAGTCAACCAGGTACTCCAAACAGCCAATGATGTTGATGTACAGCCCATTCACCAAGCTTCAGTTGGGCTTTGATGCAACGGCCGCAAACCTGCTGAGCGTACCGGCATATGTCTGGGGTTGCATATTGACATGCATTGTCGGCTTCGTCGGAGACCGCCGCGGACAGCGAGGCTATGCTAATCTGTACGTCAGCTTCTACTTGTCACCATCCGTCACTTACCGACGCCCTACCTAGTGTGTTGTTCGGCACGGGATTCATAGGCTACGTGATCCTCATTACCTCGCGTTCAACCGGTCTGTCATACTTCGCGACATTCCTCGCAGCATCGTACGTTCTCTGATCTCCACTGTCGTGCAATGGGCTCAGCGCCCTATAGGGGGGTCTTCCCAACTAGTCGTAAGCTATTTCCGACGTTCTATGTCCTGTACGAGTAGGATCTGATGCGCACTTGATTCGGTACCTAGCAAACACTGTGTAAGGGAATGCTCTCTGCTCAGACGGTTTGGGCATTGATCGCGCTTGATCCTGCAGTGCATGGGTAACTAGCAACGTTGAAGGCTCGTACAAGCGCGCTTTCACCCTTGGGCTAGCATTCGGCTTGTAGGTAGCTCTCTTGCGCTCTTCGCGCTCTCTACTGATGAGCCTTCTTACAGCGGTAACTTGCAGGGCGCAGTGACTTCAAATGTTTACCGCGCGCAGGATGAACCACGCTACATCCTCGGTCACGGGATCGCCCTGGCGTACCTAAGTATCGGTTTCATCACTTCGTTCGCGTATATGCTACTGCTTCGCAGAGAGAATGCGGCTCGCAACAGAGACGAACGTGACGAGGTCATCATCGGGGTGGATAACGACCGTGCGCGTGAAGAAAATGGCGTGTTCGAAAGCATTGAACATGCGCGGCGGGAGAAGGGCGACGCGTGGAGTGGCTTCCGGTATACACTGTGAACTTGCTTCAAGACAATACGTGTAACCATATGACCACTTGATCACATATATACTACTCAGAATCGGGTACACCGATCACGCTCCTCCGACTCTGTCGACGTTCACCCGCATCATCACTTACGCCGAACACTGTCGCTCATGTTCCCAAACCGGCCATTTCTTCCCTGGGTTCGCCGTCCCACAGACGCGCGCTGTGTGTCCCCTGCTTCTTTCGATAGGGCGGCGTGTCCTATTACTGCTGGCTTTGCGCCATCCTCCCATTGGCACGACTCGGATATATAACTAGCTCATACGTCCGACGAACATAGTGACCCTCCTTCGGCCACGACTATTCCGCCTACGATGTCCAATCTCCCCGACATCGACGCCAAACGTGAAGACAGTATCTCTCTGAAGGAAGTGGTCTCGGAGGGTTCGGGCGATGTATATTGTCCCGAGGTCGATGTCAGCGGCGTGGACGAGCGGAAACTGATGCGCAAGATCGACTTGAGACTCATCCCATACCTGACGCTGCTTTACCTCATGAACTCGCTCGACAGAGGCTCCATTGGGAATGCACGGGTACGTACACGGATGGCACACTTGTTAACTGCTCAATGTATGAGCAGTTATATGGGATGGAGGCGGACATCGGCATCAGTGACAAGCAATATCTGCTCGCCCTCACGGCGTTCTTCTTCCCGTATTCTTTCCTAGAGGTAAGCTCACTCGCACATTATGCGGTCCGAGCCTGGCGTCTTTTGACCCCTAAACAATGGTCAGCCGCCCAGCAATCTCGCACTCCGCAGGCTGCGGCCGTCACGTTGGTTCGCATTCACCGTTTTTGTATGGGGCGTGGCAATGGTGAGAGTCGTATGTGGCGCGTAGGTTCTACATCCCTGACAGACTGACGGAGCAGATGTGTCATGCGTTTGCCAAAGACTATGCGCAGCTGGTTGGTTTGCGTATCTTGCTCGGAGCCGCAGAATCTGGTGCGATTGCTTCGACTGGTATCCCGCTCAAACGTTGCTGGTGCTGACCTCTGTATCTAGCGTTGTATCCAGGCATTGTCTTCTTCATATCTTGGTTAGGAAGCCTTTTCCGTCCAAGATGTATACACTCACAAGCATACAGTTGGTACAAACGTTCACAACGCGGTACCCGCCTTGCCGCTTTCTTCACTGCATCATCCATCGCTGGAGCATTCAGTAGGGTTTCGACTCTGTGCATGTTTGCGCGGGGCTCATCACATGCTCCCAGGCGGTCTGCTCGCCGCTGCCATTCACAATCTCGATGGAGTCGGGGGTATCGCAGGCTGGTCATGGATATTCCTCCTGGAAGGGCTTGCCACGATCGTGTTTGCAATCATCGCCCTATGGGTCCTTCAAGACTTCCCGCAGACGGCGACGATGTTGACAGAGGAAGAACGCGTGTTCATCATCCGTGGACTACAGGCGGATCAGCAGTTCAGTGCAGTCAGCGGAGAGCGCTTCCAGTGGAGAACCGTATGGCAAACATTCCAGGATCCCAAGACGTACATTATCAGTGAGTATCCTATGCCCTCGCCAAGAATGAACGACGCTCAATGCAAAACGAGATACCAGTGATCATCCACGCCGCCTTGTGAGTGCCCCTGCTATCTCGCGACCTCATGAAGGTAGCTGATTTTCTTCAGCGTTGGACCGTTAATCGCATTCTCGCTGTTTACACCCACCATCGTCAACCAGGTGAGTGCTTTGTATCGCTCCGTGGAGGGGGCTACTCACTCGTATTCTTTGCAAAACCTAGCTTGGGTTCGGCGCGACGGCTGCTAATCTATTGAGCGTGCCTGCCTACGTCTGGGGGTGCATCCTGACATGCATCGTTGGTTACTTCGGTGACCGCTTCGGACGAAGAGGATATCTCAATCTGTATGCCTTCAAACAGCGTTGCTACTGTTGGACATTTTGGCACTCACTGCAACCCCAGTATTCTCTTTGGTACCGGCTTCGTGGGTTATCTCATCCTCGTGAAGTCGCGTACGCCGGGCTTGTCCTATTTCGCCACCTATCTCGCAGCATCGGGCATTTACCCTACCATTCGTAAGTACACTTCACAGCCTAGAGCCAGATGTAGGACTGACCACTGGGATGCTCGTCTAGCAAATTCAGTGTAAGATGCGCTCGTTTCACTATTGCGATCATCTCTAACACTTGCACCCTTATAGTGCATGGGTGTCTAGCAACGTCGAGGGATCGTATAAACGTGCGCTAACGTTCGGTCTCGCAGTCGGCTTGTAGGTTTCTTCTTATAGTGCATGAAACACGCTGATCGGCATCTCGACTACAGCGGCAATCTGCAGGGCGCAGTAACGTCAAATGTATATCGCGCCCAAGATAAACCGTGGTACACACTTGGACATGGGATCGTTCTTGCGTATGCTGGTCTCGGATTCATCACTTCCCTGGCGTACATTCTCGTGCTCCGGAGGGAGAACGCAGCTCGCGAGCGAGGCGAGCGTGACGAGGTCATCGCTGGCGTGGACAACAAACATGCAAGCGAGGATAATGGAGTCTTTGAGAACACTGACCATGCACGGCGAGAGAAGGGCGATGCCTGGAGCGGATTCCGTTACACGCTCTGAGATTAGGTCTCGTTGTGTCAGTGTCACAGAGCATAGGTTATGATTATCCCGACAACAATGAACGGCGTGCAACTAAACGGGGTTTACTATACGTGAGCAGTGTCGGACATGGCATTGAATTATGATACAATGAAATCTACCACTGCGAAGATCCAACTCCAATCCCGACGGGGCGTAACAGCAAAGGCATCAACATCCTAGACGGCAGGTTATGGGTGCGCGTCAGGGCCACGCGGAAGTGGTGAACTGGCAACGCCAGGCGTAGGCTCGGGCGTGGGCTCTGGGTCAACAGGACGTTCAAGCGGCGGAGGAGCGCTGCTTTCGCTGCCGTGCTGATGCTCATCAAGCCAGTTGTCCATGTCATCTCCACGACCGTACGGTCGCTTGCCGAGCATGTTGCGCATGTCCAGACGGGTGATGACTTCCCGCTCAAGTAATAGCTTCGCGACCTTCTCTACATCTTCCCGGTGGTCTGTCAACAACTTCTTGGTGCGCGCATGCGCCTCGCTGTGTCATCGTCAGCATTGTCATTCGCAAAGGGGAAGAATACGCTCAACGCACGTGATCATTTTGCGGACCTCGAAGTCGAGCATCTCAGCGGTCTTCTCGCTGAAGGGCTTGGTTAAGCTCTCCTCAGAGCCCTTCCGGCCACCATACGAGACGGGCCCAATGATGTCGTTCATGCCGTAGTTTGCACACGCTTCGAATGCCATCTTGGTGATCTTCTGCAAGTCGTCCTGAGCGCCGGTCGTGATGTTCTCATAGCCAAAGAATATCTCCTCTGACACGCGTCCGCCAAGGGTCATGCAGATGCGGTCCAACATCTGCGGGGTTGAGAGCAAATAGCGGTCTGGGGGGAGGTACTGTAACAATCATGAGCTTTATGGTCTATTCTTACAGAGCGATCCCGACTTACTTGCGCATAGCCCAAAGCACCGACTCCACGAGGAATGATGCTGACCTTGAGCAATGGATCGGCATGCTCAAGGAACCATCCGCAGACAGCGTGACCCGCCTCGTGGTACGCAACGGTCTTCTTCTCCTGCGGGCTGAGAACGCGCGACTTGCGCTCGAGACCGACGATGACACGCTCAATAGCGGTCTCAAAGTCGCGCTCAAGAACATGCTCATGACCGTGACGGGCAGCGTGCAACGCTGCCTCGTTACACACATTGGCAATGTCAGCGCCAGAGAAGCCGGGCGTGAGCACAGCGAGCTTCTGAGCGAAGGCGTCGAGCGCGGGCAGGTCTGGCGAAAGACGAAGGGGCTTCAAGTGGACTTCGAAGATGCCCTTGCGTCCACCAACATCTGGGCGGTCGATGGCGATATGCCTGTCGAAACGCCCGGGACGCATGAGCGCAGGGTCGAGCACATCTGGCCTGTTGGTACCAGCAAGCACGACAACGTGCTCGTTTGTGCCGAATCCATCCATCTCGACGAGGAGCTGGTTGAGCGTTGACTCGCGTTCGTCGTTACCGCCCGAAAAGCCGCCCTTGCTACGCGCCTTGCCGATAGCGTCTATCTCATCGACGAAGACGATGCATGGTGCGTTCTTGCGAGCTGACTGGAACAAGTCGCGGACACGCGATGAACCAACACCGACGAACATCTCCACGAACTCGGAGCCAGACACCGAGAGGAAGGGCACGTTGGCCTCGCCTGCTGTCGCCTTTGCCAACAACGTCTTTCCGGTACCGGGGGGCCCAGAGAGGATGGCGCCGCGGGGAATCTTGGCTCCGAGCTTCTGATACTTCGCCGGCTCCTGAAGAAACTTGACGAACTCCATGATCTCCTCCTTCGCCTCGTCCATGCCAGCGACATCGCGGAAGCGGACCTTGACGTCCGTATCCTTGTTGAACATCTTCGCCTTGCTCTTGCCAATGTTGAAGATGCCGCCTGGCCCGCCGCCAGACGAGGCACCACGGCGAGACATCCATAAGAGGAAGCCAGCGAAGAGGATGGTGGGAGCGAACGATAGCAGTGTGCCGACGGCGGAAATTTCGTCGTGGTACGCGACGGGGATGCGCTCGTTGGAGCCGACGCCGTTCTCGTCCTGGGCCTCCTCCAGCTTGCGCTCGAAGGCCTCGACCGAGCCAATAGAGAAGTAGTACTCGCCAGCACCGAACGCCGAGGGGTACATCTGGCCCGTCGCGTTCGAGTGCAGCTTGACGCGTACTTTGCTCCTGTTCACGACGGTGAGCTTGTCGACGAGGCCCTTGTCGAGGAAGGCGGTCCGGAACTCCTGCCAGGTGATCTCGCGCGAGCCGGCAGAGCCCGGGGATGTGAGATTCCACAACACGGTCCCAGCTATCGTCCATAGGAGGAGATTGTTAATGTTGGGTTGCTGGTTTCCGCCAGGCGGTGGGGGCGGGTTGCGGTTCCCGTTGCCAGAATTCTTCTCTCCGGCGTTCTTCTGCTCGTTCTGCTGCTGATGGTAGCGGCGGAAGAAGCCCTCGAGGCCGGACAGCTCCGAGTCGTCGTCCTTTCTCTTCTCCTTGTCCTCTACGTCGCGCTTCTCGTCCCGCTTGCCATTGTTATTATCGGCAGGAGTGGCGTATGTGCGTGCGAGTATATGTGCAGAGACGGGAAATGGGTGTAATACGACTGTGCGTCGAGAGGCGAGGACTGTCGCTCGTAGAGAGCGGCTGAGCATCGAGAGCGGCGGGGGTCGTGGGCGTTCGAGTGCAAGAAGCTGACGCGCGCCGTCGGCACAACCCACCGCGCCAGTCCCCGAGACGCGCCTCGGCACACGCGTGACTCGCCGTTCCGACGCGACGCGACGCCGCACACTCGCGCCATCGGCAACATGACGACCCACGGGCGGAAGAAAAATACAATAGGCTGTCATTGCTCGTCTTCTACATCCTCTACCTCGAATGCACAACAGAAAGTATCTCGGTCTACAAGTACAAGCCCCTTTCCGTCCGGTGCCCATCTCACGTCTCGTGCCTCGAATTTCTCTGTTCAGATGTCAGCAAAGCACCTTGCACGCATCTGACGAGGTGACCTACTCGCAGGGACACCGACACACTCTGCCATTTCCTCCGTTTCTCCCGCTTCGCCTACCCATTCGTCACTCCAGGTATAGATGGCGCCTCCACCACAGGTTGCAGCCAGACTCCCCGCACGAAGAGGGTTCCACCTTGCCTGCAAGACAGGCTGTGAATGTAGAAGAACGCTTCGCAATACGGGTGCGAACGGCTCCAAGTCTCCTGGTGCCGGGAAAGAGAATATATGAATGGCCGTCGGCATATGCTCTAGTTAGATCAGTAGCCATCTCATTCGGGCATCCAAGGCATACATACCGAATCGAGCCAATAGCGCTGTCCCAACCTTATTGAACTCCAAGTGTACGACCCCCGTCTTTGGGTTCGGTTTAGATGGGTCTGCTCGTGACGAGGGTATAGTTTGTGCGCCATGGAGCTTCTCGTCTGGGGTATGGCATGAGCGACGGCATGGACGACATAATATAGCACCCACATGATAAGAAACCCCGCCCTTCTGTGGCCTCTAACCAATTCGTAGGTTCTCTCCATACGTTCTGCGATGGCTCAGGTAAAGCGCACACAAGACGTAAAGCGAGAGACGAACGACAGTGGCTGGTGTTCGGGGACTGACATCCAAGGTCATCACTCTTGACCATGTCAAGTTCTCGAGAATATGGATCTGCTCGGATTCAGATTGGGAGCCTAACCCATGCCTATGGGATTCGCACCTTGTCATCCCATCCGGCCACTGCCAAGAACATCCCAGTAGGATGCCAGGCTACGCTGCGAACACCGAAACCAGGATCAGGGATCGGACTGAAAGTCCCCAGGAGTTCTCCTGTGAGTGATAGGATGTGAAGCTTGTATTCAAGAGGGCTCTCCCATACAGCTAAATGAGCGCCCGTAGGTGAGATAGACATGGACGACATGGATGACGTTGGTAGAGGGTAATGCTTATGGAAATATCAGATGATGGATCAGGATATGACCTAGATTTGCGTACGCGGACGAGTTTGTACGAATCAGCAGTGTCATAAACGCCCAATGTATCCTTGGACTTGTGGCGCTCGGCAAGAAGGAAATAGCGTCCGTCACGTCTGAACGTGTATCCTACGTACCTTATGTCAGTTCAGCAATGAGGAACTCGCACTGGTATTGAACGAACCCCGGTCCGGGTGTAATGGGTACTGTATGTATATTGGTGCACCAGTGAGTAGTGACCACACCGTTACGCGCAACTGTGTACATCAAGACCAGATACATAAACAGGTGCAGGTAACTACGCACAGCCCACTCCGAGAAACATACAACATGTCGGCCGTCCGGAGCCCATTCAGCCTTCACCAGACCTTCCGCACCCGCCTCGATCCGGGCATGCCACTCTTCATCGCGCATGCAGAAGACATGCGTAACTCCCGATTTGGCACACGCAGCCAGAACATATTCCGAGTCACTGGACCAGCCAATATGACTGATAGCACTGCTGCTGCTTGTAGTTGCGGCACGACGCGTCGAAGTTGACGCGGTCGCAGTCTGTGTCCCGGACGGGGTGGCGTCGACCTGCCAGGAGCGCGAGATCTGGAATGTGTCGGCCCGTCGGACAATGAGACGATCGTGCGCAGCGGTGAGGATGAAGTGACCGCCTTGACTGAACGAGACGAGTCCGCTGGACTGCTTGTAGATCTCCGTGAAGTCCATCTCAGGCGCGCGCGTCGCGGTCAAGAGCAAGTCGAACAACACGCGATCACGCACCACGCGCCAGGCCCGAGTTAACGCATGATTTCCGGTTGCACTCGAACCACCAACACGGTTCGCCTGGGCTGTACAGCCACGCGCCGACAACACCTTGTCTCCTTCGCATTCAATCTTCGTTGTCGCCAAATTTGATGAATCGAGCCTCAGACTGTGTCCACTCCTGGCCAGTTTCGGCAGTACAGATCGTATAGAAAGGGGAAACCCTGCAGTATCTGAACGCGCCACATCTCATATCGGGCATCACTCCGCCTATCTGAGCCTCGCTGTTCGGTGCTTGCGTCGGCGCACTAGCGTCGGAAATAAGGTTTTTCAGCAGGCGACGTAGGGCGACGTGGAGGTGCCGACTGCTTGCGGGAACGCCTGCTGGGCTCGTTGGCGCTATACATGAAGATTGCGCTCGTAGGGCGGCCGCACTTACGGCTCCACCCCAGGGAACCGACTGCTTAGGTTGGGCTTGCGGCTCATCTGCGACGATCAGCGGCAGCGCCCCGTGTGCTTGCAGTGTGTCCGTGGGGCTCAATTGAAGCCTCGATCGTGGAGGGTCGAGAGGATTCGGGACGAGTCCGTGAAAGCAAGTAGGAAGGTCTATACTTCATACTGAAAGCCACGGCACAATGCAACAGGAGCTCTATGCTCTTTAGGGTCTGCCCCTTGTAGATCATAAGCGCGAGGGTGACCGGTCTGTCGCCTATTTCTTCTTGAATCACCGACGAGCAAGGCTGCGGTGTGATGCAGTGCCATTTGCAACTCGCCTCACCCGTGGTTTACTCCGATGATTCGCAAAACGTGGTGTTGGGCACACTGAAAAGTTGTCAATATGCGCTATAAGGGCCACGCAGATCCTCGGCGGAGTGACTGACTAGCCGACGAACGCCACGCGCGCCAGCTACACGCCCGTATGTGACGCGCACCCCGACGCTGAACGTGCCCCAAGCGTCAAGGCCTCGCTGCAAGGGTCGGACTTGGCGGCTGCGTGCCCAATGCGTCGTGCCGGGGCTCGCTGCGTCGCTTCGAATAATATTGAGCCGTTTGTGCTCTTTCGAATGATGGCCATGCCGTGTCTCCTATTCTTGCTTCTGACGCCTTGCACGATGCATGAGGGATGTCCGCCGCTATTATAAAACTTGAGGTTCAAAGAGATTTGGGATTGAGCAGCGCACCCATTCGCCTTATCTCACTCGTATCCTATTCTCCAGGTAATCACTATGTGCCAAAATGTGCGTTTACTCACCGTCCTCCCGCTCTCCAGTGTACTCATATCGCATATAGATTATTTCGGGTCGTTTCCATAGTGCATGCGGCCACTTTGAGCCCATGTCAACCTCGCGTCAAGACTGCATGCGCCCGGATTGCATATTCAGCGCTCGACATGAACATCCCGGCGGTCAGCGCTACGCACCTGCGCCTCGTGCGCCTGTCGTCGACGTCCGATCCGGTTGCAAATGCGCCCGTATGATGGCCCAGCCGATCCGCAACCCCATCCGTGTCAGTCCGGCTCGCTGTGCCAACTGCCTCGAGCGCGACCGCGTCGTCTGAGCGGCATGCGCTCCTTACGCTTGCGACATCGCGTCGCTCAAAAGAGCGCCTCCGCCTTCACACCAAACATATATCTACCTATCATCTAGTCGACTACGTTTCCCACTCGCGTGCCCTCCTACTACTACTCTAATGCTGCGATTGTACCCGGTCGACGAATCTGTTCTGAACTTATGGCTTATTCTGAATCGTCCTCTTATACTTCGTCCTCTTAATCATCCCTCTATGCGCCTATGATATCACGACCCGAGCTTCCTTCACGATCTCTATGTTCTAACTCCGCATCTTGTGTTTATTTCTATCATGTAACAGCACGTAACGTGTCAATTTCACTCTAGTCTGATCTCTTCGTGTGAAGTTCGAGTTGTTATAGGCGTGCCAAGCATGAACACGCCATCCGAGTTACCTCACGCGTTCATGGGAGCGCATCATTTCGACAACACGCGCTACTCGCCGGCGTTCCGCAGTGCCGTCTGCCGTCCCGGCGGCTGCACTTCAAGCTCTCCACAATCTCGCACTCAGGCCCATTCGGCATGCTATCGGCTTTCCACCGTGTATCGGAGGCGCATCCACGCCCAGCTATAGGCCGGCCCGCACAACTCTCGCTCTCGCTCAGTCTCCCAACTCGTGATATAAATGGGTGCCCGCACATCATCCTCGAACAACGAGTCCGCTCAGAAGAGTTCTTACGCCGCGATGCTGGACTGGGATAAGGTCGACAAGCCTGAGCTGATTCTCCAGCGCTTCCCTAGTCGTCGTTCGGTCGTCTATGGAACGAAAGGCATGGTCAGCGCGAGTCAGCCTCTCGCAGTGGAAGCTGGTCTGGAGATCCTGCGCAAAGGAGGAAACGCAGGTGCGCCACAGCCCGGCATGATCCCAACTACGTCAATTGACCGCATGCTCTATAGCTGATGCCGCCGTCGCCACTTCGGCTGCACTCAATGTCACCGAACCGAGTTGCTGTGGCATTGGAGGGTGAGTGTTTGTACTGTGACTGACATTGACTCGGCGCTCACGATGGCATAGCGATGCTTTCTGCTTGTTCTGGGACGCAAAGACCAAGAAGGCGTCGGCCATGAATGGGAGTGGCAGAGCCCCCTTCAAGTTGAATATCGATTACATGAACTCACGCGGAGTCAATGGAACAATTCCTGTTACCGACTTGAACTCGGTGACCGTTCCAGGTATGCGTTCCTCTATGCGTAGTGGAGCGTTTACCGAGCCCCTCCAGGTTGTGCCGCCGCTTGGGTTGACTCAGTCGAGAAGTTCGGCAGCGGAAAACTGAGCTTGAGCGAGATCTTGGAGCCCGCAATCCGCCTTGCGGAGGAGGGGTCAGTACTTATTTCCATAATGTCACACTCGTGCGCTCATCCTCAATCAGGGTTCCCGTCTCCGAGCTTCACTCATTTGCCGTACGTTCTATTACCTTATCAGTGAACACCGATTCTCACTCTCTCGGCAGTGGCAGCGCTCTGAAGAGCTGATCAAGAAGGCATCGCCCAACGGGAATGAGATGCTTCTGGACGGCAAGGCGCCCCTGCCTGGCCAGGTGGTCCAGCTTTCGAACCTTGGCAAGACTTTCCGCGCACTAGCCGAGCATGGAAAGGATGGCTTTTACAAGGGTCGCATTGCCGAGGAGATCGTCGCGTTGATCAAGAGCAAAGGCGGCGTCATGGAGCTCGAGGATCTTGCAGCGCACCAGACGGACTTCGTCGAGCCGATCACTCATACGTTTGCCAACGAAGTCACACTCGTCGAATGCCCACCAAATGGTCAAGGGCTAACAGCGCTTATGGCACTTGGTATCCTCGAGGAGATGCAGGAACAGGGCAAGATCAAGAATCTACTCGAGATGGAGCACAACTCAGTCGAGTACCTGCACGCTCTAGTTGAAGCTCTTCGCCTAGCTTTTGCCGACACACAACACTTCGTGGCGGATCCGAACGTCGTGGCTGTACCTGTCGAGGAGATGCTTAGTAAAGAGTATCTCGCCAAACGCGCTGCCTTATTCGACCCCTCATCCACCGGAAAGGTCTTCCACGTATGTCAATGTGCCTCATGCACGCCTGTAGTGCTCTTCTCACTCGCTGTAGGGTAACCCTCTTCATTCTTCTGATACTGTATACTTCAGCGGTGCGTCATATGTTCAAGACACTGGTGGTATCTCATCGATGTCGCGTAGTGACGGACCAGTGGGGCAACGCGTGCAGCTATATCCAGTCCAACTATGCGGGCTTCGGCACAGGAGGTGTGTCGCAGCCGTAGTGTCATATCACTGTCCTGAATGTTGAACGCGTATGTACAGCGGTTCCGAAGGGCTGTGGCTTCACGTTGCAGAACCGCGGCTCCAACTTTTCGCTGAAAAAGGGCCACCCCAACCAGCTTGAAGGCGGCAAGCGCCCATATCACACAATCATCCCCGCCCTTGCTCTGCGTGGCGATGACATCTGGCTGTCGTACGGCGTAATGGTGCGTTCTTCTCGAGGCTTGACCGATTCAGCCTATTGAATGCGTTGTCATAGGGAGGATTCATGCAGCCACAGGGGCACATTCAGGTCTTGTTGAACATGCTTCGCGGTTTCACACCCCAGGCTGCGCTCGACGCACCGCGTTTCTGCATCTCGGCAGGCTCACCCGATAGCGTGGTGGAGGGCGCCGAAGAGAAGGCGGGGGATATCAACAGCGAGGTCTACTTTGAAGAGGGGATTGATACGAAGATCGTCGATACACTGCGCGGTACGTCCGCCATACCGTTACTCACTGCATCTGTCTGAAAGGTGTACAGCTATGGGCCACGACGCCTACACCGCGTCTGGATTCAAGCGTAGCATGTTTGGTCGCGGCCAAGTCATTCAGAAGATCCAAGACCGTTCAGGGAAACTGGTTTGGGCTGCCGGCTCGGATCTGCGCGCGGATGGGCATGCTGCAGCCCAGATCTAGGCAATTGCGCATTGATAAGGAAACGATAAAGCGACACTTTTGTACTCTATGCCGCGGGTCCATTACGGGATAGTGTATGAACTGTATCAATTGCTAGTGTATGGGCAATGGTATTGTGAATCTATAAATATGTCCGACGGGCCTCAATACATCTGCTTCTGTCTCTCTGCGCCGTCCATCTGCTGGGTGCGATATTCACGAAGTTGCTGTGTCATATCGGGCCCTGTGACCGTACCCCATCCAGCGAGCGGGAGGACGATAGCTGTCATGTTATCATCACTACCCATCGTCTCGGCAAAACGCAGGATGCGATCTGCAGCGCGACGAGGATCAGGTGCGTCACGAGCAAGGTCCACAATCTCTTGGTCAGAGACGCAACCAGAAATGCCATCTGAAACAAGCACGGCGAATGCCCATTGGCGACCTATACGTGGACAATCCCTTGAGCTTGTGATATGCGAAATCGTCGAGTACGCTCACCGTCAAGATACCGTGTACGAACAGTGGGTTCGGCAGTCACACCAAACGGCTTCCACTTGAGATCCCCCAAGCTCCGCGTATTCTGTAGTACACCCATCCAGCGGGCGTCGCCAAAAGAATCGGTCATCATCCCGAAGCCCATCATCCGCCGCAGCCTTTGCGACTCAATACGGGTCTCTGCGCGGTGATTCTCGGTCATCGAGAACACTCTTCCTTTCTGTACCGCGCATAATAGCACCCTAGTATCACTAGAGCGCGTTTGAGCATGAGAGAATGATCTCGAGATCTGACGGACCCACCCGACGTGCGCAACCGTCAGCGCCACTCTCTCCGCCGAAAAGAAGGGCCTGAATGGTGCGTCGAGTGTATGAATGATGGCAACAGACGCTGTCGACCCAGATGTCTTGGCTGCAGGCTCAGATGACAGGTTTCTGTCGACCTGAAAGAAGGTAGCCAGAGCTCGAGCGTGTAGGTCCATCCGTTCTTGCGAGACATCTGGATTGATCCAAGGGCGCAACTGTTCGCCGTTGAAACGCTTGAAATAGCCTCCCAACTCTTTGACCCAGGCATAAAGTTCGGGTATCTCGTCCGTAGTCATGGACTCAAATAGTCCGTGCAGTTCTTGTCGCAAATACTGCGTCATTGAGTACTTGCAACTACGAAACGTCATATGCGGCCACAAACCTGAGAGACCGTGGAACCACCATGACTGTTAGTCGCCAGGTCAGATCACATCCGCGATCATAACTGTGGGCGCGCGTACCCGTCGTATATGCCTGAGCAGATGGATGATAAGTCGGTGCAGAACAGAACAGTTAAATAGCCGGGAAGACTTACCGCAGAAAGCAACCTCATTGGCAAAAGTATCCGGCACCTTCTTGGGGTCCCAGTCAACTTCGGCGTGTCGTCGCGCTGTGAGTTGCAACTCTTCTGGGTCTATGCCGAGAGTTGCGAATGAATAAAAGTCCTCCTGGTACCTGCTCAAATGGATCTGGAGGCTGCCAAGGTCCGCGTTTCATGGTACGTACGGACGGGTTCCTCTTGATTGGGCTATCCCAATTACTTTCGGGCTCGATAAGGGGACGCGCACGATGCCACCTTATACCCGGTTCTAGACCTTCTCGTAAAGACGCGAAACTGCCGCATACCTGGAGTCGGATAGCGAACATAGTCGTGGTACAATGCTCTCAGTGCAGGCGAGGGTGTACGCGTGAGAATGCGGGGAATATGAGAACGGAACGACATGCGCAGCGTGTGCTCGAAGTCTGCCCGGACTTGAGCCTCATCACCTTCGGGAGCGTCGTGGTGGGTGTGGAGAAAGAACGCGGCGCCCCGGTTTATGCCGAGTCCATCTTGGGCTTCTATAGAGACGTTCGACGTCACTCTCCCACCGACTGCCACCAAACCTGCGAGCCGTGTCTTCATCTCTCACAACGGGTCGGTCGTACGTGCGCTTTTACGATAGAGGGGCAGGCATGATATTCTTGAATGAATGAACGGGCTCGCTCTCTCCCTATGCCGTCCGCGCAATGTATTCGCGCTCTGGCAACCTTATCCATGATCTCCTGCTGGTAGCCAGGTCCTCTCGGCTTCAATTTTTAGCTTCTGGACACCATCACCATCACAATGGGCGCAGACAGATCGTAGGGCAAGGGCCCGAGCATGTATCCGAGTTCCATATGCGAACGCGGAACACACAAGTTTCCATGCGCACAATCTGCCTGCGGCCCCTCCTAGCTCCCGCGTTATCGTCGGACAGCTAGCGCAAGCGCCCAGATACGGACTGTATAAAACGCTGTGTGGCGCACTGCGCGCGCTACTCAGGTCACCCCCGCATCCCGCGCATGTGAACGCCTATCGACCCGGTTGAGCGTATCCTATGGCTACGTTATCGCCCTTTTCGTTCGGGCAGCGCGTAGGGATTCTGCTCATAACGGAAACCGCCGGGGCGTCCGCAGCAGCCGTTACTGCTCTTTTGGTGTGGATAGCGGCAAGTGGTCGTGCCACTACCCCGAGCATCGGTTAACCCTCCATCACAGTTTAGTGCCGTGGGTCTTCGGCGACAGGCGCATCGAAGGTGGAAATTGGACACGCCGCTGCACCTTTACTTCCTGAACCTGCTGTTTTGGGATCTCGTACAATCTCTTGGTATATATGTACTCAGTTATGCATGACGTGTTGCTCAGACGCCATTTCAGGTGGCCTGATGAACATTCGCTGGATCATCGACGCGGTCGGTATAGTGCATTCTCGATGGCATGCAGTTACTCATATGCGATTCAGGACGTTACAGAGGACAGTTTCTGCGTCGCTCAGGGAGCTTTCAAGCAGCTGGCAGATGTTGGAAGTGCAATCGCGTAAGTAATCAGATCCCCAAACGATCCACTCAGGAGCCTGACCATTCGCAGCTCTCTAGTGCGTCGAGGTTACACAGATGAGAAAATCCACATTTGACCTAAAGTTCACGCATATAGACCATTGCATCGCATACATTCTCGACCCTGGTCTTTCGATGGACCCCGACAAACAGCATGCTCAAAGGGGGCTTGATCATCCTGGGTTGGTGGCTCTTCATGATCGTGATCCTAGTTGTCGATATCGCCGTAAACGGATCCCGGACGTTCTACGGAAACACTGGGTACTGTCTGTATATTTCATCCAACACTACGACGAACGAAAGCTCATTCCCTTCTGCTTGCCATATAGGGTGCTGGATCTCAGCCCGGTTTCCCGTTCAACGCATGGTTCTAGACTATGTGTGGATGTTTATCGCCTGCCTCTTTAACATCGTGGCATACGTGCCGTTGTACTTTGTCCTCAGGGGTACCCTCGTGTTAGACGGTTGGAGACTTCATCGACCCAATACACCTCCGGAACGTGCGGTGCTCCGTAAATCAAATCATCTCGCTCTCAAAATGCTCATGTACGCTCTGGCATACCTGCCAATTTGACATATCTGACATGAATTCTAGATACCCTGTGACATATACTATCTCTGTACGTGCTAATCATTCTGCGTAACCACGAGTGATGCCGACGCAACCATCAGGTTTTACCCATCGCCATCGCTCGCTGGACCCAGTTCAACCACTCTGACATCCCATTCGCTGCGACCGTGGTTTGCGACATGATCTACATGTCGTCTGGAATCTTCAATGTCATATTATACGCTCTCACACGGCCTTTCCTACTACCCCATCGCGAACATCGAGGACGAATGCTCGACAACTCGATTAACCTCTCATTCGCGTCGCAACATGGCACCCCCATGCGGACCCCTCGCATCGGTCTTACCCCCGTATTATCACCTGGCAGTTTTGACCTGCGTTCCCCTCACTCAGCGTCGGCTTTCATCAGGGACCAAGACGGGGGGCTAGAGGCCCGGGAGCCGTTCAGGCTCGTGATGCCACTTCCTATCCCTCCACCGCAGGGCACCTTCTCCTCGCCGACTTCCGATGGCGACGATAATGATCACAAGGATCCCCATTGGCATGACAGAGCTAGCTCTCGCACAGACAAAGCTGCGTCTTGGGGTGCAGAGTCGCATGCGGGCGAAGCCCTGTAGACCCGTTTTCTGCGCCTACGTACATAGACTTCCTCTCTCCAACCCATCGGGACTCTCGTCGCTTTCAAGTTGCATCGCTTGCTATCTCTTTACCCCCAACGGATTGTCGTCGCATTAGCCTTATAGTGATTTGGCCCTGACCCTTTGTTAACTTATCTATATAAACATATTCAACGTGTACATTCACACTATGCAAACGTCTCAGGATCGGAGCGTGGAGCTTCAGGACTGCGAAGCAACCAATCTTGCTTCTTCCCACCAACTCGTTCTCGCCATCCTGTCTCGCGCAAGCTTGTCCTTGCACTTCGTCACACTCGATTAATAGCTCTTCGGACGCGCCCATTCTTTCTCTATCAACGATGGGTGCTGGGCAATCTCTTCCGAAGATAACGGCCCAGGACAAGGCCATACTGGAGTGCGTTCCCTACACAGCCGGGGTGTACTTGACCTTATACTTGCAGCATGAAGCTTCAGCGCGATAAGTTGAAACAGTATCAGAAGCGGGTGGGTGCCACTAGACTACGGAGAGTACCGTTGCTGACTACCAGTCTCCATCTCAAGATAGAGTTTGTGCGCGACCGTGAACAGGCTATAGCAAAGGAGCACCTTGCTGCAGGGCGGAAGGACCGTGCATTGATTGCATTGCGGAGACGGAAATATCAGGAGGGTCTCCTGGCCAAGACGGACTCGCAATTGGAGAACCTCGAGCAGCTTGTATGTCGTCGTTCCGTGTCCTTGGGAGGTGCCACACGTCTTACACCTCCGCTCAGGTCAATACTGTCGAGTTCTCTCTGGTCGAGGTCTCCGTTATGCACGGGTTGAAGCAGGGGAACGACGTTCTGAAGGAGATCCACAAGGAAATGAACGTAGAGAGTGTTGAGAAGCTCATGGAGGAAACGGCTGAGGCTCGGGCGTATCAACAGGTGCGTGGTTCTGCCTGACTCCCAAATGTGTGACTGATGCTCGGTCTAGGAAATATCCGACATGCTGGCGAATACACTTTCGCTCGACGATGAGGATACCGTCCAGGATGAGCTTGCTCAGCTCATAGCTGAACAGACCAAGCAGCCGGAACAGAATATATCTCTGCCGGACGCTCCTGGCCATGTCCCGGTCCCGGAGCCAGAGCCGGAACAACCTCAACATGTCGAGGCAGAACAGGATCGAGAACGCGTCCCGGTCCTGGCTTGATTGCTACGATACATTCTCAGACCGACGTTAATTTATCATGTACTATAATCACTGGTGCACCGAGGCATATACGAGCTTATTATACAATGACAGCACAACGTAACTCAGAAGTTGTCGAAGTTACCAAAGCCAAGCTTCCTCTTCTTCGTTGCTTCGACGGGTGTACTTGCTGCAGGGCGCTTCAAATTGAGGTACTTGCCGACCCCACTGCCGCCATTGGTCGTTCCCGTCGTCTCTGTGCCGACCTTAACTCCAAACCAGTTCACGTCTTCTTTATCGGACGTTGCGGTCACCGCTTTGGTGGCGCCTTCCGACTCGATCTTCCTAGCGAGTTTCTTCGCCAGCCGTTGCTTGTAATCCTCGAATGGATCTTGGTATCTGTATACAATAAGCATCTAACTGTGTAGAGACTAATACGTTTGCGTACATCTTGATCTCAGCGATTCTAACCTCTTTGGCTGGTCGCTCGGTGCCATTCTTGAGCGGCAGCTTCTCCAATGCATCCAGCACGTCCTCTCCTCCTACCAGCTTTCCGAAAACAGTGTGCTTACGGTCAAGATTGGGCGTCGCGCGAAATGTCAGGAACCATTGCGACCTACAAAGTCAGATTCCTGAGGTGCTAGCAATGAAGAGATCACTCACCCGTTCGTACTGGCGCCCTTATTGGCCATGGAGAGTATGCCGCGACTATCATGCTTCGCAGCGCCCTTGAGATCGTATTCATCGCGGAACGGTGTTCCCCAGTATGATTGCCCACCGGACCCCGTGCCAGTAGGGTCGCCCGTTTGTATCTACGCACAGTCAGCGATGCGCCAGATGTGGTTGTGAGCGACATACCATAAAGCCGCGCACAAGGCGATGGAAGAGGACATTGTTATAGTAACCCTGGCGTGCAAGCATGAGGAAGTTATAGCACGTTTTCGGAGCCTTCTCGCAGTAGAGTTCAAGGTTGAGGCTGCCCCCGAGGTTTGTAACGACCCGCACATACGCCCGGCGTTTGCCAAGGTCTTTCTCTTTGCCCTTGCCCTTGAGAGGCTTCGAGATATCTTCGAACATCATCTCTTCCTAGAACAGGGCATGAGAGTCATTTTACGCAGATACAGTTCGCGCCACAGTACCTCGTCCCATACAAGCTTTGTCCCGGCCGTTTGAGGATCAACCGAGGTAGATGTCAGAGACGCCCCCGGCATGCCGGATGAATAAGGCGAAACATTCCCTGCGATGCAGTCAATAACATGAGCAGATCGAACACCAGCGATGCGTACACGGAGTATCCTTCTGTAATGCGACTACGGGTCCGGCTTTGGGAGGCGCTTTCTCTGCCACGACCTTCTTTTCGAAATCCTGCTTTGATGACACTGACGCTGGCGGGAGACCATGCGGGTTCTGTAGGGTGATGACATCCTCTCTGGACATATGTTTCAACACTACCATTTTATCGGTCAGCGAGAAAGAAGACGCACTTCTTGAAACGCACGTCGTTGATCAGATCCCGTCCACCTTTCACGCTCTCCGCCAGAAATACGTTTCCCGTTGTTGCAATGGCAACAATGTGGGAATGCTCGCTGAAGGGTTTAAAGGTGATGGGGTCGTGAATTTCGCCCGACGGTTTGCGGGAGTAATTCAAGGAGATAAGGTCGGCGGGTGTGAGTGGTTCTCCCGTGACCGGATGTGTATTATCATGCTGCCTGAAAGCGCATGAGAGGGTGATGTGGAGAATTCGTTCAAGTATGGACGTACTTGAGCCAAGGAATGATATTTGTGAGGTCGAAGACGCTTCCAGTACCATCAGCGTTGCGAGCCACGACGGGATGTTCGAAGGGCTGGAAAGACAGGGAGCAACAGTCGAATGGTGTCTGTGCGCCGCGATGCGTTCCCTCCTGCTTTCTATTTATTGTGCCCAGTGAGCAGAGTGTGATAATGGAATTTTAGGTGTACGCACGCCCTGTGGCCGGAGGACGAAGCGGTATGTTGGCCAAACATGCCGGAGTGCTCGGCATGAGTGACATAGAGCTTGTTCGAGTTTCCGTGACCCATGGTGGAGTGGTGATGGTGCAGAGGCAAGCGCGCGAAGGCGGGGCGCGTCGCGTCGCGTCTCGAGACGCGCGGGTCGATCAATTGGCACTCGCGACTCGCCGTCATAGCTGCTGCAGACATTCGTGTATGCTTTCTTGGCTCTCACTCGCACTGTTGCCATGCTGACGATTATTCTAGCGCACCGTATGGAGAATGCTTTCTCGTACTGCAGGTAGCAGAACAGTCTCTTCGGCCCTCTTTCTCGACTTTCTGCTCCCAGGCGCGCGGTCAACCTCGTCCAGCGCGACGCCGACATGGTACCAGGAACTCCTGACCGACAAACGCCCCAAGAAAGCGAAGAAGCCTCGCGTACTCAAGCCATCCGTTGCCCAACCCTTGCATGCGCTGCGCAGGCCTACAGACCCCACCGAGACTACGTTGAGTCCGAGTGAGCTGTGGAAAACCTGGAGCCTGGATGCGCGGGACAGTGCTGGAAGGAAGTCGGCGAAGACGCCGGATGGGCCGGAGGACGTCGTGGTATGCCATCCCTTGAGGTTATGTGATCATTGTCTGACTTGCATCAGGTGCCAGATACCTCGCCTAACGTCCCCCGCCAATTCTTGCGGGCATTGAAGTCTGGACGCTTGGCCGATGCTCTTGCCGCGTGGGACGAGATGGCCAACGAAGGCACTCTATCTGCCCTAGGTCCAGCAAGACTCACGCAGGCCTCCCGCGCCCTTGAAGCGCTCATTGTGTCTACCCCCGAAAGCGCCACGCTCTCCGAAGAGTTCGTTCGTCTACGAGAGCCTTGCACATATCTTGCTTTACGGAACGAAGGCCATGCTCTGCGAGCTTTGCTCATATATCTCGTCCAATCTCGACACGGCATGGTGGCCACCGAGATGTTTGTCAGCTTCCTTGACGCGTGGTCACGGCATCTTGAGGATGTAACAGAACCACACCTCGCTAAAAGCGAGACAGATCTTAGCGACGATGAGATCTTTTTGGCTGCATCGGCTGGTGAACGAGAAGTCGCGCCACCTCTGATCTCGGACCTGATGACTACGGTCGTTGTCGCGCTCTCTCTTCATCAAGACTTCACCAGCGTCATACGCATCGCACTCAGGTGTGGTAGACGACCCCGTCGCCAGAGTGCAGTGGAGATTCTGCCGCTGCTCCGACTCACGGACACTCAAGCCAAATTGGCACAGACATATCTCGCCCACGCAACGACGGCCATCATCGCCCAAAGCCCAGCTTCTGTACGAGCTCACACGCAGAATCTCGGAGCAAGTGGAAACGTGCCACGGCTCAACGCCTTGTACACGCGTGTTCTACAAGGACTAGGCGACGAATATCCGTGGGCAACGCTCGATCCCTCCCGTGTATCCGCACAGAGGCCCGTGCTGCTCGACGAATCCGTCTTCGTACAGTTCATCAAGGCGTTCTGTCATATCCGGCGTCTCGACTTGGTAGAAAAGCTCTGGGACGATATCGGTCGACTGGGCCATGCCCATTCCGTCGTTCTCTGGACGGGTCTCATGCAATACACTAGTGCTGTTAAAGGTGCCGACTACGGAAACAGGCTATGGGGTGCGATGCTTGCGTCAAACGTCGAACCGGACACGTTGGCGTACCAGGCGTTTATCACCGCCTACCTCCAGGAGCGCCGTATGCCACTGGCCGTCGAGAAATTGGCTGAACTTGAAGCGAAGCTGAAGCGTTCACCCGCTCCTCACGAGGGTCTTTCCCTTGAACCGCTATACAATAGCGTGCTTCGTGGCTATCTCAATTCGAGGCAGCATGACGAAGCTCTGGCACTCGTCGAACGCATGAAACGCGATGGACCCACACCCACCATTGCAACATATAATACGCTCATGGCACACTACACCGAAGTGCGCGACTTCAAGTCGGTATCTTGGGTATTGCGGAAAATGGCATCGGAAGGACTTCGCGGCGATGGCTTCACGTATTCAACCTTGCTGCGCGCTCTGTTGGCTGTTGTTTCCCGTGAGGAAGCAGTTCAGCGGACATTGTCCATGATGGATCGGCAAGGCGTCGAGCCGAACGTGGTCACGTACAGCTCCATCATCACGCATTTACTTGGCGAGCGCACCGAAGCCGCTTTCCTCGCCGCGATGGATATGCTAAAGTGGATGGAAGCAGGCAAGCGCGAGCTTGCACCAACGGTTATTACATACACTGCCATCCTGAAGAGCATCTACGAGCGGTCGGTTCTGCCGGCGACGATCGCCAAGGAATGTCGCGATTACATCCTGCAACAGATGCGCCGACGACAAGTCGAGTTTACCGCGGTCACATACGGAATTCTCGTCAAGGCATGCCTTGGGAATGGAACTTCAGACGGGCTACGTGACGGGCTACGGTACTTTCGCGACATGCGCGCACGTAACCTTCCGATTTCTGCGGGAATATGGTACGTCGTCCTTGATGGACTGGCGAAGAGGCAGGAGTGGGGACTCGCGAACGCAATGGCCGACGAAGTGTCTGCGCTGGGTATTGTTGGAGAGAAGTCTTGGTTGAACAGGCTGGTGCAGAGTATACGCAAGAGGACGCGCATTGATAGCTTGATGGATGACGCGGAGGGGCATGATTATTAGAATAGACCCATATTACTATGCTTCATTCATCCGCGAATACCGAAGAAGGCCTTGCCGAAGCCGAGTTGCAGATAGCGTGCATAGGCTTTGTAGAATGTCAGACGATGCCGATTATCGGGAGAGTGTGAAAATATGCGCACCAGCGTAGGCGTAACGCCTGCCAAGCCACTTTCCAAAGTAGGGTAGTAGGACGACGGAGAAGACTTGGGTGAGCTGGCTGAGGCTCTCCTCCCACTCCTTCTGCGCGAGCGCGTAGTCGTCGTCATCGTAGTCGAGGACGTCGCTATCGCCGTCCACGGAGTCAATGGACGCGTATGACTTGGGCATGGTCTTCGTCGACGTTTGGGGTCAGGGGAAGATGGCGCTTGCGGGTCAACACGCCGGCGATTACTGAACGGCGCGGAGTGATCGTGACCAAACGGCCGAACTGCTATCCCACTTGCTTCTAACCACCACCATTCCTCGCCCCGTACCGGATGCGCAGCCATGCCGTCCAACTCGGGCTCAGGCAGAAGGCTCGTAGGCCAAGCCCTACTATATTCAATTTCTGTCTTCGCCTCGCTAGGCGTGTTCCTCGTATGTATCTATCGCCTCTACCCGGAAATGCAGCACCTAATCCGCCGTTGGCGTAGTTCGGATATGACCAAGGGTACATGCACTGTTCTGCGCAGACTAGTCGCTTGTTCTTACCGTATTCGCAGAGTTATGTCTGGGATCATCACAGGTCCTCACTTCCGTTCGTACTTCGGGGAACCCGGTCCGGTCGAGACCGGTACTATGGTTGCCGTACTCGAGGTTGGAGCCTTCAGTGCGTACGTTCGCCTTGAATCACGATTGCATGTCCTCACGCGGGGTTGTAGTTACTTCACTGGCCGCGGGAAAAGTCGGTGACATCATGGGCCGTCGCGGCACTCTGTTCATCGGGGCCGTCGTATTCGCTATCGGAGGTGCTATTCAGACATTCACGACCGGCTTCGTCGTCATGATCATCGGCCGAGTGATCAGCGGGTTTGGCGTTGGACTTCTCTCGTAAGTCATAGTCAAATGTTGTTTAGCTCTACTCACGCGACCGTCAGCACGATCGTACCTATATACCAGAGCGAAGTATCGCCTCCGAACCACGTAGGCTATCCTATCAAACGCATTTGGCCTGTGCTCATATGAGAACTGCTAGCGTGGCGCTCTTGCATGCATGGAGTTCACCGGTAACATCTTCGGATACGCCTCCTCCGTCGTACGTAAATCAAAGGGTGCCCTTCTGCAGATCGTTGACAGGTGAACAGTGGCTGGACTACGCTTGTTCATTCATCGATTCCGACTTGTCCTGGCGCGTACCATTATTTTTCCAAGTCGTCATCGGTGCCATCCTCGCCGCGGGATCGTTGGTTATGCCCGAAAGCCCCCGGTACGCCCCTCTAAACCGACTTTGAGCTGGTGGACTCACGCGTTATTAGATGGCTCATTGATGTCGACCGAGACGATGAAGGTTTCCAGGTCCTCGTAGACTTGCACGGCGGCGACCCCGAAGATCTCATTGCTAAGGCTGAATACCAGGAGATCAAGGACAGAGTCATGTTTGAGGTGAACGCACATCATCGATAAACTGCTTCGACTGAGTTCGCTGACCTTTCGTAGCGAGAGAATGGTGAAGCGCGCAGCTACTCAATCATGTGGCAGAGATACAAGCGCCGCATTTTGCTCGCCATGAGCTCCCAAGCATTCGCTCAGCTGGTTAGTTTCCACATTTGAAGCATCCATGGTGTAGTTCTGAATCCTGTGGATAGAACGGGATCAATGTCATCTCATACTACGCACCTGCCGTCTTCGAGTCGGCAGGTTGGGTAGGTCGCCAGGCCATCCTCATGGCTGGTATCAACGCCATCATCTATCTGCTTGCCACGGTGCCTACATGGATACTTGTGGACCGATGGGGACGACGCACTATCCTCTTGTCTGGTGCAGTCATTGTACGTCGTCGCAGGCTCGGTGATGATCGCAATCTATCTGACAATGCACTAGATGGGTATATCTCTGACTGCAACCGGCTGGTTCATGTACATCGACATTCCTCAAACACCAAACGCCGTTGTCATCTGCGTCATCATCTACAACGCGTTCTTTGGATATAGCTGGGGGCCTATTCCGTGGCTTTACCCTCCCGAGGTCTGTCGCATGTGCATCTAACTCTGCACGAATATTGAAGGCCTCGAATAGATTCTGCCCCTCACCGTCCGCGCCAAGGGAGTGTCACTGTCTACCGCCACCAACTGGGCTTTCAACTTCCTTGTCGGTGAGGGTACGCCGTTGCTACAGGATGTCATCGGGTGGCGCCTGTATCCCATGCACGGCTTCTTTTGTGCCTGCAGTTTCGTTCTCGTTTACTTCCGTCAGTGTTCGCCTGCCTTGATACCTGTCGTCTGGTGCTAACCGCTTCATAGTCTACCCAGAGACGAGAGGCGTTCCTTTGGAGGAGATGGATGCTGTATTCGGCGAAGGTTTGTGCTAGCCCATTGTCCTGCGCGTCGTGCGTTACTGATCAACCCTTCAGACGAGCGCGAAGAGCGCGAAGAGAATGAGGAAGAAGATGAGCGTGCGTCGCTCATGTCTGGCAGTCGCTCAGGCTCGGTGAGCTCTCGCTCGTCGCATGCCTCGCGCAAGTCATTGCAAGCCGGCGCTGCTAGCCAGGGCTGGGTCAGTCGACTGATGGGGCGGACCCAAAACCGTGCCAACTACCAGCCTATTGCAGACGGCGAGGAATAGGAACTCGCGAGGATGGAAGGGAAGTCATCGACTGAAGAGCAACCGCCTCGATCGCGGTCGCCATCACCGTCGTCGGCTTCCCGGTCGCTGCGATGACTCCTCGCAACGGCGGTGGCGGCAGTGTGCGGCGCACGCTCAGCTTCACTTCGGCTTTATTTTCCCTCCATCCTCCTTGCCATGCATCCAGTCTCGACTCACGAACTTGCTTGCACATACACATCTCCATCCACGTATTTATAGCCGAAGCTGTCGCTTATGTCTATAGGCGTGCTGCCCGGTTCTGCATGTCTTTGCCGCCCGCCGCATAATACCAAATGTTTCTAGTACCCAGTGTCGATTCAATCCCATAGCTTCCGCCCGTCGTCATATGTGCGCACCAGGCATTGTAAATACTCTCAGTCGCTCCGGACTTTAGCTAATCACGTTCTCGTCATGGCATTGTTTGACTGCATCCCCAAGCGCGAGATGTCCGCACTGAGCTTGCGCCCTAGAATCATCTCCGCCATCACCATTCCTGTACCCAGACTGAGCGATATTCCCCACGGCCCATGTCCTGCGGCAACGAAAACGCCTTCCGCGCCACCACTCTGCTTTGCTTCCAGCGCCATCAGTAGAGGTCGCCCGGATGGGCCCACAGGACGGTGGCATAACGAGCCGCGCACAACCTCGAGGTCCGCCTCTGGTACCCCCAGCATGTGTGTCGCACACCTGCGGAGCTCTTCCAGCGCATTGTCGTCCGGCTTCGTTAAATTCGCTGTTGCT